AGTGATTAATAGCATGAGCATCGATCCACGCAATTGGGATCGATGACATGCATCAACCAAGTCAGCGAGTCTGACCATGCACCCGATCCCGTTAGTCACAAGCATAGTCACCTTGTACAGCAAGCATGGGTTGCTGAAAACCTATTCTACCGCGGATCTTCACGGGTCTATCTGAAATGAAATAATGCATCTTTGAATACCTGTTCATGAAGACATCTCGACTTTAAGGTCGCGATTCATAATTTGTACGTGCATCTAATTCCACGGCGCACAATTCGAATGTTTGCGTGTTTTGGGGAGCATAATACTAAGGCGGAAAGCACACTTGTTTGCTTAAACATATGCGTAGGTCCGTGTGCGTATTCATATAGCATAACTGTTGTCTCAAAACATTGAGCCTGAAACACACTAGTTTGCGTTTGCGTTTGCGTATTTGCGTATTTGCGTATTCGTAATCTGTGTCCGAAAAATTCGATTTCGTGCGAATAATGCAGGGTAAAACACATTTGTTTACGTTAGGGACGCGTATACGATTGAATCCGCTCCAGGAGCCAATTTTGACTTATACGCGTAACGATGAGAAATCCTTAAAAGGAGTCAACTGCGCGTGTTTTTCGTAGAATGTTAACGTATTCGTTATCGTAAGCATAGCAATTACTGGTATATAATATGTTTTGAGACAAGGTATACGCAGAGCGCACACGAAGTCTCACGCATATGCATATGTATGCGCAAACAAGTGTTTTCCGCTTGATACATACGAGCAATGCCTAAGCTTACGGGGGGCACGGGGAGCCCAGTCGCCGCGATTCGCTGTGCAGAGTTGCGTCCCTTGGGCACGCCAGAAACCTATGATTGTGGGTTCAAATCCCGGTTCGCCCCTATTATGTTTCTAGGTTTGTCAGCACCAAACCCGTGTTCGTGGGTTTCACCGAAGTGGTAAACGTTTGAGACCTGCATCACTTAGGGCTTTCCTCCCACATTAAGCTGACATGCCGCGATATAACTGGAATAATGTTAAAAGCGGCGTTAAACCCAACTCACTCACTCACTCACCTAAGCTTACGATAACGAATATGTCAAAATAAACTGGCTCCCGGAGCTAATAGTAGGGTCACAGTAGTTCATAAACCGCTGCTGTGTTTTGCCACGATACCAAGTTAAAGCTGGGCGCTCCTTTGATATATCCCAAACAAGGGCTGCGTTATACCAAGATACTCTATAAAAGCTGCATACCCCGGTAACACATCTAAAACAGCTGCTGCGCTTTAGTAAGCCACTGCATTAACACTGAATAACCCTTTCACGTTTCCATTGTCGTCGGCATGGTCGGTGACAACTATATCCAAGCATATTCCTGGGGTCTTTACCAAGGCAGAACATATGGCTACTCATGGAGATACGAACTAACTACCCACGAGTAGCGCTGTAACCAGCATTAACAAAACCTCATTGTTATACGTGAACAGAATCTCCGAATTGTGAAATTGCTCACACACAACTAGCAACAAAGATCTAGCCTGAAGTGACCAAGGTCACAGGTGGACAATTATTCGACCATTAAAAAATTGACCCACGCTGTGTTCATCAGCATAGATAAAGTATTTTAATACGCCATAGCCCAACCTTAGACCGAATACATTATTGCCGTATTTCCTGAAATAAACACTCTTCTTATACAACGATAGCCGTCAAGATTATGACACTTCGTGGTATACGAGATAGCCGAAAAATGCAAAACCGGGTGTATGGACGTTTATTGTAGGAAATACAGTTTATTTTCAGCGTCACGAAAGGTCAGCAGGCGGGTTCTGTAATAAAATTCACCCATGACGAGTCCGAGTTAGGTCACTTTAAGAGATCAACTTAAATATGTGAGTACAAAGAATGTGAATACTTAATGGAATATGAATATTTTATTAGAAAGTTGACCACACAGACAAGTTTGGACTGATGCTATTGTAAACGTATAAAGGAATGCCGGACGTCACACATAAATGTAATATATCTTTAAGAGGAATTCTAGAAGCTGTAGTGTCAGTGAAGACAGAATAGACTTATGGAGTTAAACTTCATTATTCTTTCATTGCGATGTTTCGGTTATTTACAGACCGCCGCCATGTAGCTGGAATATTGCTAATGGCATGTGTCGTTAAACACACAAACCTTTACAACCTTTATCATACCACGCTTCAAAACAGTGAGTGTGTGAGTGAGTGAGTTGGGTTTAACGCCGCTTTTAACAGTATTCCAGTTATATCACGGCGTGTCAGCTTAATGTGGGAGGAAAGCTCAAAGTGATGCAGGTCTCAGACGTTTACCACTTCGATGAAACCGACGAGCACGGGTATGGTGCTGACAAACCTAGACACATAATCGTGGCAAACCAGGATTCGAACCCACAATCATAGGTTTTGGGCGTGCCCAAGGGACGCAATTCTACACAGCGAACCGCGGCACGACTGGGGCCACGCGTGTCCCCCTTCAGTACAGAAGCTAATAGATATATCAAGCAGGTGTTGGATCAAGATTTCAGCTGCTGTACTGAAATTTCGTATTGATAACATAAGAGAAGATAAATGTCTTCATAAAATTCATGATGCAAAGTGAGTGAGTTGGGTTCAAGGCTGCTTTTAACAGTATTCCAGTTATTCCAGGGACTCAACTCTGCACAGCGACTTAGGTGCCTTAGACAACTGGCCCTGATTTAAAGTATGCCATTAAGGTTATTTCATTATATGTAATGGTGATGCTCCCTAATAATCAGCTTGCACTGTTCAGAGTTGCGTCCCTTTTGGGAGCCAGAAACCTAATATTGTAGGTTCGAATCCCAGATTCGCCCTGGTTATGGTTGTTGTTTGTCAGCACCATACCCGTGCTGGTGGGCCCATCCAAGTGGTACTCACTTCGTGCTTTCCTCCCACATCAAGCTGAAGGGTGTAACATAACTGACATACTGTTCAGAGTTGTGTTAAACCATTGTCACTCTAAGATACCATGTGGGGTTTCCATCATCTAATCCAACTCAGGATGTCTGAAACCAGTCATATAACTTCAAGCAAGGACATACACCTTTTGGGAAAGGGGGATTCATTTCAGGATCTCAGTGAGGGAGTATGAGTATCTTTTAGCTATATTCATGTCCTATCACTGTGGGCTACTCCAGAAATAGGTTTCACACACTGTGTGGTTGTGCGGATTCGAAGCCGGGCTTTGGGGAGATGAGCCAACTTTTCAACCACCAGGCTACCCCGACGTCAACTCATTCGCAGAGCAATATATATGTGGTGAAATGACACAAATGATTCAGTCAAAGTGTTGCAACAGATTAACACTCTAGTTTACTTGATTCTCTATCAAACTTACAAAAGTACATATGTTTAAATGCTTCAAAATGTGTGTGTGTGTGTGTGTGCACGCGCACCCTTACACACACATACCTCCCTCTGGATCCGCTGTGGCTTTATTCTAGTATTCTGGGACCACGTGTGTTTATGCAGAAGGGGCAGTTTGATAGTCTAGTGATTAATGCAGTGGCCTGTCAGGTAAAGGACCCGGTTCAAATCCTGTGCTGGAGCCTATTTCTGGTGTCCAAATTCATTCAATCAGAATGCGATTGCCCTGTTTTTGTTTCTTGTTTGTGGCTATACGTATGGAAGCCTGTAAAAAATGTCTAGACCCCACAAACTAGTGTTTGATATCATGAGCAACCTCCCATGCCATCGGTACGATGACACCAATCAACCAAGTCACAGAGCCTGTCCACAGATCCATTCAATCGCCACTTAGGACATTCACTTTGAAGAGCTCTTAAACTCACTCTCTGGAGGAAAGACAATAAACACTAGCAGTCTTTCTATTATCTTATGTGTAATTAAGATTAATTATTAAGTCAAACATTTTGAAAAAAACGTAACACTCCTATTTGTTCAAAGATGAAAGAGAAGCAGATCCAGGACCTTTAAATTGGTGGGGTGTTTGGGTGGATGGGGGGCACATTATGAAATTTACCCTCCAGTTGCGACAATATACAGGGCAAGTGCTGTACAGCGGTTTCTATTTACTTATAAGAAAAGCCCCACAAGGGGACTTTAGAGCAGAACAGTTTTTCTGATTAGGGATAGAATTAAATTCTGCCACTGCTTTAAGCAATAAAAAAAATTCTCTCAAAGGAGCAAAACAATTTCTTTTTATTACAGCACATTCTCCCATATCATCAAGCATGTCCAGCAAACATATGTATATTATTTTTTTAATAAAATCAGAGACATTTTTGGTTACCCAGTATTCCACCCCCGAATACCAACAGGTAGGTCCCTAGAGTCTGCTGAGCATGACCATGCTGTTTGTAAGTTACCATGTCCTGGAGGCATGGGTTATAGTTGACCTAGTTGTCTGGTCCTGGCTTGATTACCTCACAGGCCAAGGTCACTAGTAACACTGCTGCAACACGCCTTCCCCCATCTCTGGGGAGGCTCAAATAGGGGGCTTGAACAGGTATACTTAGTAGTCAACAGGCTATTCCCTAACAAGGCTGCTGTGCTTGACGTCTGCTCATGCATGTCAGCTCCTGTATTTGTAGGTGGAGTAAACACTTATTTGTTAGCTTTCATTGAAAATAAATTGAGTGAGTGAGCTGGGTTTAACGCCGCTTTTAACAGTAGAAACAAAGTCAGGAAGAACCAGAATATGAAGCCACGATCATAGATATCTGGTGTGCCCAAGGGACATAACTCTGCACAGTTAACTGTGGTGCCTTAGACGACTGTGCCACCTGTGCCCCCCTTTCATGAGTTTGATAAATGACAGTGAGTGAATGTTGTTTTATGCTACAGTCAGTAATATTCCAGAAATATCAAGGCAGCCTGAAAATAATTGATCATTCATCAGGGGTGATGATACACAATCAGTCAATCACAAATGTGAAACTCAAGCATGGGGTACTGATGACCACTGCCCTGTAATCTCAATACCACATGATACAGAAATGAGAACACACCTTCCACATCATAGTATTATTTATTTGTGAAGAATAAGATACAATGTATATGTGTAGGAATATGTACCATATATACAACAGAGAGGTCCATGACAAGCTATCAACAGCCGACCAGGAATCCCGTTGCAACATGAAAGAAATCTTTAAGTATAATTAGTTAGACCCAATTAAATAATTATAATATTTTTTGCAAATTTCTAACATGTTAAACATGTAAAACAAGTACATATGTAAATATGAATTGTCGACGGATGTGATTCACGTGAATCATGAATGTTTAATGTCACTTGGCATTAGTTGTATTTCATCAAGTAGCGTTAGAAGGGAACACGAAAAATATATTTTCTCTAACAACTTCATTGGATGTTTTTACTACCACAAATTATCTTTAATTTAACAATAAATACACCCACCCTCATCCACGAGCAACACCAAAGACATGACATCACAGCTTCATGGGTACACTACAATAACCAAAGTTCAAAATGACACAAATGTTCCCAATGTGGGAAAGGGAGCACTTTTCATCATTACCGGTTATTGGCTGTGCATGTAGTTTCCATGTTATTTAATTCTCCACATATGAGAAGGGAATGGTAAATAACACCAGTTCCATCCTGGGACACAGGTGTCATGTTATGACTACTTTTCATATAGATACATATCATAATACCTGAGTCGGGAGTATTGGAGATACGTATCTCGATGCTTAATGAGTGAACTTGTCAATGTTCCATTGTGGCCCTGGTAAACAAGAAGTTGTTGTCAACAACCTGTCTGTGTCTAGCTGGACGATGACTGGTTAGATTATTCTTTATCATTATAAAATCAAATACAGCATTATGTTTCACGATAGATGGTAAAGTTATGCCCAAGTATTTGCAAAATTAGCACATATTACTTTTGGAAACTGAATACAGCCTTAAACAAGAATTGATATACAGGTAGGAATATTGTGTACAGTAAACTACGGTTATACCGAACTTAAAGGGGCCACAAAGTTTAGCTCATTATAACCGTAGTTCGTTATAAACGTAGTTTACTGTACCACATTATCAGGTATAAACTCATGATGCATCCATACAATGGGGAATCATGATATCCCTACCGGGGACATATTTAATTCACTCTTGACAAAGTCAATAAATATTGCATTGATTATCATACCATGGTTATTGGGGCAATATTTTTCAAATTACATAAAATCAAATCAAAACATTACATTCAATGTAGGTGTCATGATGACCAACCTACAAGTACTTGGAGACTTAATGACTTTTATACAATAGGTAGACTCAGGGGCTTATCTTGGATTGAGTGCCCGTTACAGGCAAAAAGGGAACAAATCATTATTTTGTTCAAAATTGGGATTTTGTTAAAGTTCTTATTTACCTACATTCTGAGGTATTTTAACATTGCATTCAGAGCTAAAACTTAACTTTAAAGCCCCTTCATCTATATCAACGTGTGTGTGTGTGCCCCTGTAGTCATTAAGTTGACTATGGCATATTGCAACCCAAGTGGTATCACATCCTCAATACAGGGTACTTGGTGTTCTGCCGGGGGAGGTAGGCTGATACAATACTCAGACACTGGCCAACGACCTGCAACAGAGAGGGGAGGCGGGTGACCAGTTATGTAACTTGCCTGTGTGTATCTATCATGTGCAGCTGTAAGAAACATGCAAGAAAATAAATTTTAGAAAATGTTACGTACTTTCCTGGTGTCCTGGGGCAGGATGACTCCATCATCTAACACCCTGGTCGATGTGAACAGGGCGGACATACGTCCGGTGAACACTTCACGCAAGTCATCAGAAAGCTTGTCTACATCGTCTATTTCTTCTGTTGTGGCTGCCTTGTGCTGGAAGAATGAGCTGTCGTCAGACTAACCAACAAAACCCACACATCTACATATTGTTAGTTAATGTAAGAAGTTAAGAAACACCTGACTCTTTTATTAGCTATAGTTAATCTGTCTTGAAAGACTACCTATAGTAATATGAAAGAATCGGACGTTTTTTAACTTCTTTTGAGTTGCATATATCATCATATACTAATTCATACATAAATTCACCTGAGCGAGGGTACTGGCCAGTGTCTTGGGCTCCATTATGCCTGTCACAGCGTTTGGCCACGTGAAGAGAAAGTTGGGGCTCACTGCTCGACCGCCCTATTCACAAACAGAAACAAGTAAAGATTAAAAAAGATACTTACTACATACAAGCGAAAAGAACAATTATGGAATTATTATAAGATAGCGCTGTTATCATTTTTAGAAACACAAGTGCCACTAACCATTATGTAGTGAGTTGGTCCAATTCCGTTGCCAACAATGACTGTAATCTTGGGCACGGAGGCACAGCTGACAGCGGAGAACATCTTGCCCTGTGCCTTGAGCTGCTCACTCACAGCCACACCTGGAACACGATACATGATTACTCATTACCCACAGTGTGAGCTAGTGAAAGGGGTTGAACTTTGAACAATATTTCAGTCATATCAAGGCATGTAAGACAAATGTGGGAGGAAATCCCAAAAGAAAGTATACATTTACCAATTCGGTAGAACCAAAGCGTATGACAGAGGTGAATGTTTTCATTCATGGTTGTTCCCCTTGGCAATTCTGGGACAGAATTGGCCCAAAGTACCCACTGCTTGTGTCAAGAGCTGACCAGACAGAGGACTGACCAGACTGAGGATTGGGTGGTCACAATGCATGCCCAGTGTGTGTCACTGTAACCCAACAGTGTACATCATTGCCCCAAATAGGCCGCCATACTATAGCTGGAATATTGCTGACTGCGGTAAAAAAAGTGAAAATAATTCTTCCTATTCTAAGCCCAACAAACCCATTCTTACCCTCACAGGTGGCAGGTGGATACCTGGTTGTTTCAGTGTTTCTCATCATGCTCATAACATGTAAACACTCACTCACTCTGGTCAGGCTCATGGATATAACATATGTGGCGATGTGGAGAGCTAAAGAGAGCATCAATGCAAGCACCACACACACACAAAACCCACTCACCCACCCACTCACTCTTGTCAGCCTCATGGATATGACATATATGGCAATGTGGAGAGCTAAAGAGAGCATCAACTCACACACGCACACACGCACACACGCACACACGCACACACGCACCACACACACACAAATCCCACTCACCCACTCACTCTTGTCAGCCTCATGGATATGACATATATGGCAATGTGGAGAGCTAAAGAGAGCATCAATGCAAGCACCACACACCCACTCACTCACTCACTATCCCGATTCCCTTATTCTCCCTCACTCACCATCACTGTGAGGGAGCTCCTCTGGGTCTGTGTTCTGCAGGAAGACTATAGGCACATGTCTCTCTGCACACAGCTGGACAAAGTGACAGCCTTTTACTGCTGCTTCAGTCGATAACACCCCTTGGTTGGCGACGATGCCAGTCAGATGCCTGGAGCAACACACCAACTCACTACACTCAAATATGATAGTAAACCTTTTTCTCTGGTTCCTAATTCAGCCATTCTTTATTTTCTGCATTTAAGGTTTGATTCTTCAGTTAGAGTTATGTGTGACAGCCATCTTGTACATTCATGACAACAAAGTGATCATTCAGCTTTTAATATATTGAAAACATGCAGGCCATATTCGAGACAATGCTTGTTAAAACCACTGCCAAATCTTTTTAAAAAATTAAGAAAAGACCTTCCATCTTTTAAATCTGGTGTGTGTGTGTGTGCGTGCGTGCGTGCGTGCGTGTGCGCGTGCATGCGTGTATGCGTGTGCGTGTGCGTGTGTATCTACAGACATATGGAGGATACAGTATAAGGATCCTTTTAAGCTTACTGCATTTTCAACAGTATCAGCATTTAGTTTTAACTGACCAACCCAAACATCTTCATGCAAAAATAAAGACATATTGAGCTACACAAATATATTTATTTTTTCAAAAGCTAATTGGTTAACAAAATTCTGTGAAGTATTAAATAAAAACAAAAATTGGCTTTACAGGTAACTGTGACAAAGCAGCCTTGAATGAAGACTGCTGGTGTTGACAAGACTGTGTAAACTCACCCCTCAATGAATCCAAATCCTGTTACCAGTGTTTGTCCGTACAGCTTCTTAAACTCTCGGAATCTGCTACCATCAACTATTCTGCCAATAATCTACAATAAGATGTTTTTGAAATAATGGAGAGGAGATATATGTAACTGGTCTAATGGGCTCTCTGCTCTCCAAAATGGCTATTTCTAGGAAATGTTTTGTCTGACGTGATGCAAATAATGCTGAATTGGGAAACCCCTTGAGTTTTAAAAATTGACAATGACGTTACCACGGGAGTAACATTATCTAATACTTTACATTCAATGGGGTGCAATCGTATAGGACTGTCACCATGCTAGAACTAATTAGTGTCAAGCTTTCACCGAGTTCGCAGAAATGATGAGTCATAATGTGTACATGTGCATGTCAATAGACTGCAGGTGTCCCTACCTTGTACATGTCAATAGACTGCAGGTGTCCCTACCTTGTACATGTCAATAGACTGCAGGTGTCTCTACCTTGTGCATGTCAATAGACAAGGTGTCCCTACCTTGTGCATGTTGCTAGACTGCAGGTGTCCCTACCTTGTGCATGTCAATAGACTGCAGGTGTTCCTACCTTGTACATGTCAATAGACTGAAGGTGTCCCTACCTTGTACATGTCAATAGACTGCAGGTGTCCCTACCTTGTACATGTCAATAGACTGCAGGTGTCCCTACCTTGTGCATGTCAATAGACTGCAGGTGTCCCTACCTTGTACATGTCAATAGACTGCAGGTGTCCCTACCTTTTGCATGTCAACAGACTGCAGGTGTCCCTACCTTGTGCATGTTGCTAGACTGCAGGTGTCCCTACCTTGTGCATGTCAACAGACTGCAGGTGTCCCTACCTTGTGCATGTTGCTAGACTGCAGGTGTCCCTACCTTGTGCATGTCAATAGACTGCAGGTTTCCCTACCTTGTACATGTCAATAGACTGAAGGTGTCCCTACCTTGTGCATGTCAATAGACTGAAGGTGTCCCTACCTTGTGCATGTCAATAGACTGAAGGTGTCCCTACCTTGTGCATGTCAATAGACTGAAGGTGTCCCTACCTTGTGCATGTCAATAGACTGGTTGCCTGCTGCGACTAATCCTGGCAACTGACTGGCATCGTATAATGGCTGTTCCGGCTCCCTCGTTACACCAGACGCACACTCCACATTGAGGCTGGCAATTATGTCTCTCCCCATTGAAAATGCTTCATCTTCATCAGCGGCAAAGTGATCTGTGCACCCACTCACTCTGAGAAATATCAAACAAAATGTCTTTCACAATAAATACCATAGCATGCTGGAACATGAGTGAGACAACATGGAGGCAGGTTTAGAGACCGTCTGAAAAGGCTGTTTTAGAGAGTGCCAGATTACATGGAGGCTTGTTAGAGAGTGTCAGAAAACTAAAAGGATGGTTTAGCATGTCAGATTATATGGAGGCTGGTTCAAAGTCTGTCCAATAACATGTAGGCCGGTTTAGAGAGTGCCAGATAACATGGAGGCTTGTTGGAGAGTGTCAGAAAACTAAAAGGTTGGTTTAGCGTGTCAGATTATATGGAGGCTGGTTCAGAGAGCTACAGGTTACATGAAGAAAAAAAAAATATGAAATTAACTTAGAAATGACAGTGTCAGTTTTAGAAAGTGTCTGATTAAATGGAGGTTAATAGAAGTTCAAAAGGCCTTCAAATGCCAACAGAAAAGCATAAAGAAATCAACCTACTTGCAATGCAGAGTGGCGCCCCCTAGGTCCTCTGCTGTGATTACCTCCCCTGTGGCTGCCTGCACTAAAGGTGGACCACCAAGGAATATAGTGCCCATTTTGTGCACTATCACCGCCTCATCGGCCATGGTGGGAACATACGCTCCTCCTGCTGTACAGCTGCCACACACTATAGCAACCTGGTAGGAAATAACTCAGACAGGTAATACATCGGACTGGATTATAGGAATAACATATCTAATTATGACCATATCATGTTAAACGTCACAGTGGAGAGTAGTGTCCCCAGAATTTGCTGATTGTTGGTTCTAATCCCAGATTCTCCATGATTATGATTCTTTGTGTGTCAGCACTTCCCATGCTCATGAAACAAATGTGTACCTCGAAGTACCTCAGGACTTCCTCTCATTTCAGTGATTGAGTCAGTGAGTTGGGCTTATTGTTGCTTTAAAATGTATCTCGAGTATGTCATGGTGTGTTAGTTTAAAGTGTGACGAAAGCCCAATTGAATGCAGGTTTTAGGCGTTTTACCAATCAGCAAACCAAGGATCATAATCAGGCTGAATCTGGGAGTTTGAACAAACAATCACTGCATCCTGGCACATCCAAGGTTTACAACTCAGTACTGTGAAATTAGTTAACCGAACCAAAAGTTTGACGTGATATGTTCATAAACAGGGAAAGTGTGGGACTTGAACCCACAATCAACATCCCTCACATTTATCTGACACAACAGGTATATTTTGACATACATACTGTTCAAAGCAGTACTATACCCCAAACTCTCTGACTAACTTAAACACAGTAGGCAATATTACAGCTCTATCAATGTAGTGTGTACATATTGTATGTAGCATGCTCATGAAGCATCCAGCCATCAGGGTGAGGTGACACACAATAACCCAGGGCCCCAGTCCACACAGCGATCTTAGCGCTAAGGTGTTGTTACTCATATACTTTAACATAGACTTACAATCACTGTACTAAGATCGCTTTGTGGAACAGGGCCCCAGCCATTATAAATTACTGTCATATAAAGAAATAAAAGTGACAAAACCCTTTCCATAATTATATGAAATCTCTGTTAAGAGCACAGTACTTTGTACAATGTTAACTTTGGTTGAAGACAACAACATTGAAAGTCTTCTAACAATAAACATAATGATTACTGTCCACATTTTGGGGTGTGCCATCAATAGATCACTGATCTATTTTTCACCCTTACCTGATGGATTTTTAGGGAAGATAACACAGCTTCATTGTAGAATGTCTGCCCACCTGGATTGAATATCTCTGCCTGTAAACACATTTAACAACACAAGGTCAAGGTCAACCGTACAGATTGGAGACATGGTTCTGAATGAGATGACGTGATGTGAGATGGGGTTTAATGTCACGTTCAGGTTTATTGCACTTGTATAACGACATGCAAGCATTTGTGTGTGGGGAGGGGGGTGTTTGTAGTAGTCCAGATTTATGCCAGTTTTATACTGCTACCCCACTGAGATACCCTGTCACAGTTTAACATGGAAACCCCACCCACACATATTATCCTGACTCTGATCCGACCAGTACTTGTTTTATCTCCTTAATGCAGAACACCAGGCAGGGAAACAACAAGTACCATCTTTTAACATCTTTTACTATGATGTGGCCAGGGATCCAAACACCGATCTTTCACTCTCCGGGCAGGCGCTTTATCCACGTACTAGACCACGGAGGAAGTCAGGTAGAAAAAGAAATACCTTTGATAAAACAAGGAGATTACAAGTTTGCCAAATAATGAAATATCAATCCATGCCACAGAGTACTGCGATACACATACAGTGTTACACATATAGCAAAACATTAACACTCCTAAATATCATGATCAGATAATTGTTGCTTTACCTGTAGTGGGAGAAAGGCTCCTCCAGAATCAACAACATAGATGCATGGCAGTCTGTTCTGGTGCGCTATTTCCTGTGCCCTGAGCTGTTTCTTCAGTGTTACAGGATACACTGAACCCCCTTTCACAGTTGCATCATTGGCCACTATCATGCAGTACCTGCCCATCACCTGGCCTATACCTGTACACAGAAACAGGATTATCTACCAACATGGGGCAAATGGCACTTTGGAAGAAAAGAAAATAGGTACTGCATGCGGTTCTTCTGATTTATTTTTAGATATTTGCAACATAATCATGATAGTTAATACAATTCAAAATAATTTCAAAAACCAAATTTAAAAACTGACATCCATTATATCATGGGGTGCAGGCTAAAACAGCACCTCAACAAAAATTCACTGATTTATCGGCAAAAACAGCACCTCATTTGTTGAAAACGGCTACTATTTGTTGGGCAACAACGGCACCTCTACTTTTAATAATGATAAGAATGATTTATGACGTGGTAGTAGTAGAACAATTACACCAATCAGTTGTAACAACAATATTGATTAATAGCAAAGTAGCTCAACTCAGACTCTAACTGCCGTTAACTTCTCACATGCAACACCTCTAAAAGCCATTGTAAATAATTGTGAACTCACAGCAATTTTAAATACAGTTTCAGCTTGACATTGAGTTTATATGAGTAATGGTACTTAAAACTTTCACTTAAAGTTTAGTTGCGCCTCCCATTTAGAGTCGGCGAGTAAACTGGAGTAGAGGCTAATTTCTAATGTAAACTTGTTTAAAGGCGATCAACACTTCTTAATTATTTGTGTTTCCAAGTGACCATGTGAGTTTAATTTCATTTATTTCAGTACCAAGGTAAAAAAGAATAAGGTGGCCATTTTCGACGCTTTGTTGAGGCGCCGTTTTAGCTATAATCCATATCATGTACATTGCATGCTGGGGTTATCTGATACAGTGATAGATGATGTTCCAGTCTCAAAGTTTTCGTTGTTTCAAATATTTTGAAATGTGTGCAAGTTTTGACAAATGGATGAACAATGAACATTGTTCTAAGTATATTTCGTTTGAAAAGGCTACACACATTGGTATGTATATTTAATGTTAAATGTACCATGGGTACATGCATCTACCAGTACCTGTATCAGATACATAGGCTACACTAAAGTGCTGGGACGAGTCCAAATTTACTACCCGGGACCCGCCCTCTATTACCCAACACTACCTGGATACACGCTGTAGGGTTCAAAATGTATGACTGGGATTAGTTTTACCATAACCATGGCAAAAGGAATAAAAAATACACATCTAAAACGATCTGGTCATGCGTACACTGAAGTTGACTGAAGTTTTATCTTTATTCAAACATATAATAGTCAGAAGGAATGTGTACATAGTCAGAAAGAAATGCGAACATTAGTGACTTATAGTGTAACCATGGAGTCCTAAATATATTTTGTAATTGAACAGTGTATCACATGACTAAACAAGTGGTCCGGGTAGTCCAGTGGGTACCCGGGTCCTACTCAGCACCAACCAGACCCGAGTACCCAGGTTACCTGTCCCAACCCTACTACACTATATACCTGTAACCACTCCTGCTCTTGGAACATCCCCATACTGCATTCCTAAACCTGCTACTGGGGATAACTCAAGAAAGTCCTGTTCACTATCCAACAATAACCTCAATCTATCTTGAACTAGTAGTTTCTTGTGTCTTTTAGTGTGTCTCTCTATGGCTTTCTGGCCGCCGCCCATATGAACTTTTTCTAACATTCCTAACAACACTTTCTCTCTTTCTTTAGATGCAGCAATATTTTTGGAATAATCAGGTTGATTAACATCCACTTGTACATCTAAAACTGGATAAGGCATCATTTTGTGTTTGTTTGCAACTTGTGGAAAAAGGTGTTTGCTATTTGAATGAAACTTAGTGACGAGTAAGTTTGCGGTATTGGCATCAAAACAGTTTGACAGGATTCCGTGTGAGGAGGAAGGCTGCAGCTTTGTTTTTGAAAGTTTGATCAACATTGATGTCCTTTGAAAAGTATTCATTTTGGCGATACTTGAATCCTTCACAAGAGACCAAAGGTTGTCGAAGGGACATAACTCTTTTACGGCATGGAGGGTGGGTTAAATTAAAGTAACGTGTCTCTAAAACGAATTTACATGTTTTGAAAGACACATATCATAAACATATCCACATATCATGACTATAATATATTTCTTCCTTTTTTATTATGATTATTGTTACTACCGTAACATTCTCATAGAATCACAGAAAGAGCAAGGCCATTTTTGTAACGATCAGTTTTCGACACAGCCTTCGAATTTTCGTTAATTTGAAGATGGCGGCGCCCATGAAAAAATAGCGACGACCATGAAATCTACTCGCTTTGTCAACAAATACCAACTCTAATAACATTTTAGGATATATACAATTTCTACATTCTCCTTTTGTCACGTGAAACAAGAAAAGGGCATTTTGAAGCATGGATCAGTGAACTTTCTGAAGGTAAACATCATTGTGGAATGAAGTTCTCGACGATATTTCATTTGTTTTTCTCAACAGCTGCACAACCCCACCAAAATATACGAAAGTCTTATTTTGGCGTGTTCCACAGCAATGTTCTACAACAGGCATAAGCATAGCCGAATGGGAGAATAGATATTGTTTGTGCCAGTGAATAGTATTGCTGCATCATGACAACCTGTATATTAATGGTATGTTATCAATTCTTCCGAGTGTTTGAAGGTATGTTGACAGCTTGAGAAACAAAGACACAATCAACGTTCACGCACTGCAATCATGGTATTCATGCGAACCTCATCAGCATGATCAGCCGTGTGTTATCAGAAACATTTGACCTTTGGAAACTCTTCAATGACTGAATCCCCATTTGTTTGTAAAAAACAACAACAATCAATTTTTAACTAACAATAGGAAATAATATGCCAAACAAGGTTCTTAACCATGTTAACAAGATCATGACAAATAATAGGCTATGAGCATGGTCATCATGGTGAAGGCGATTGAAGGGCAATCATAGTGAAGTGGTAAACATCATGAACATGGTAACGGTACACATGGTACAAGTATACATAGTATAAGTGAAAGATGTCCATATACACATGATACATGTATAAATGATATACATGATATACATAATCATAGTTTTGCATGTGTTTCTTTTTCAGTTTCACTTTGAGTTACAACATTTCTTAAAGTGAAGTGCAGTTTGTAACGTTTCCATCAAAAATGGCAGCTGGAAGTGATGTCCGAGACATTCTTGAGTTGGAGCAAGCTCCAGAAAAGGAAATGGTCACAAAAGAATCCTTAATGTATGATGGCAAAAAGGTAAGTGTGAATCTGGAGATCTTCACAATTCAGACAAGTTTAGTTAAATATTTCTGAATGATCTTTGTAATTCTTTGGTACTTTATCATTTGTATCTTTTGTATACATATTTTTTTATGAGATTAACGTAACTAGTAGGCTATGAATGTGAAAGTTTTAGTTCTTAATCACATTAATAAGTGATTAAGCACTGATCATGCTTATCAGTATGCAGCCGCATTGAGGTGATTGATGACAATGACATATGACAGTTCAGCATGCTTAATGCACGTTTTGAGATTAAGAATGTTTAGGATTCATAAAAACGATCCTAAATGTTTCATTTCAGAAAAAAGCGAAGAAATCTGAACTAACATTTAAGCGACCGGAGGGCATGCACAGGGAGCTGTGGGGTCTATTGTGGACTGACAACAAGTAGGTACCTGGATGTGATGGAGGCTGCATGGCAACTGTATTGGTTAGAAGTGGTTCAACCTGGTCCCGAAATTGTTTTATTGGTTAATTCTACAAATTTCAGAGCAAGAGATAAGCTGCGTATATGCATAAAATACATGAAATATGCATTAAATAAACTGAAATATGCACACACATCAAATACGCAGCAAAAACTATAAATATGTTATTGAAATAAAATTAATGCATATATTACAACAGTTAGATAAAATGATAGTGTATCAGCTGATCTCCAAATTCACTTACTGACTGTTACATTCGGGAAAGCTTCTGCGACAAATATACTGATAAATGCCAATTGAAAAGCACATCATGCCTAGTCAATGTACATGTTGTATCTTAATCAGTCGCTGATTGGTAATTCAAACAATAGCGCCTTTCTTGCGATGCTAGAAATGGCTTCCCGGAGAGGGAGACGCAAGCTGACGCTGACTACTACTACTTTTCATATATTTTTAAGTGATTTACAGTGATTGTTTACCCATGAAGATCTGGGTTAGAATAGGTCTTAGACAACTCATGCTTGCCCTAAAAGGTGACTATGCTTGTCATAAGAGGCGACTAGGGGATTGGGTGGTCAGGCTCACTGACTTGGTTGATCATATCATCATATCCAAATCGATGATCATGAAGTCAATCACTGGATTGTCTGGTCCAGACTCGATTATTTACAGACTGCCGTCATATAGCTGGAATATTGCTGAGTGTGGCATTAAACAACAAACAAACAAGTACAGGGATTTTTATGAAACAGGTTTTAAGTTAAATACCCAAATGTCAAGAAACGGGTGGGTAAACAAATTTGAATACCCTCTTAAACTTGTGGATACCCAAGGCTAAAATACCCAAATAACCAAAAGCTTATCTATAGCTCTGACATTTACAAGTGATTTTGTGTATTTAAATACAACTAGATCAAAGTTGTTCTAATTAACAGTGATCAAACTTAATATTTAATAAATCAGGTCTCCATTTCACCAAGCCAAAAGGTACACTTTAATTCAACTGGATTTCCGGGATCCAGTCCAATTCTACAACATTTTTCAGTCAGATTAAAGCACACTTGGGCTGGGATGAGGGTACCTCGGGTCAGGTGGTCACTGAGAAGGTCTACCAGACCACCTGGACCTGTGGTTCATCACATGATATATTGTTTGAACCATCCACACATTCCTTTTGACTTTGGTGTTTGAGTAAAGACAAAGCTTCAGTAAACAATGTATGCATGATCAGATCGTTTTGTATGTGTATCTAAATATTTTTGGCCAGGGCTGTAGTAAAACAATTCCAAATTTTACATTTTGTACCCAACTCTTAAGACATGTAAGACTTACATCGGATAACTGGGTTGTAAATTTCACCCACTTTTGTGTGTTTAACAATTAGTAAGCAAACCCCTTGTGTCCAACCTTTTACCAATTTATTGGATGATAAATTGTGATACATTGTTCACAAATGTCAAGTGTGGAACTTATGGATGCTAATGTCATTTTTATGTTGTTGCTATGGATACAGAGATGCTCCTCCCATCATCCCCTCTGACACCAATCAGGGCTATAAACAGATGAAGGCCAAGATTGGCAGCAGCAGAGTTCGACCCTGGAAGTGGATGCCATTTACTAACCCGGCCAGGAAGGTTTGTACTCTATACCATCCTGTAAACAATTAAATCTTATTATGATTTGTGAACATCATTTAGTGTTATCATAGCTTTTTCTGTTGCGGTTGTTAATTATAGCAAAAACAATGGGTGGGGCCTGCTACTCTGACCTGCTATGGCAGAAATATTCTTAACTGCAACATAAGACTAACTCGCTGTAATTAAAGGGACAAGTGGGTCATTCACAATTATTTTTTGATTATTAGGCGGCTAGTGCTAAACCATGAAAACCATGTAATGATTTCGTTTAAATGAAAATCAGAGAAGTTGAGTATGTTTCTGAACCCCTGTAGTTGGCAGATCATGGGTGTTTGTAATGTTAAATATCTGGTACTCACAAACTTTCTTATGAAACATGATAATCAGTTAAAAAATGTGAATGTGCTGATTTTAACTGATCTGGATAAAAAATATTTATCACTTGTTGTAACATTGGATCCATCAGTCTGTCACATTTTACATTTCTCCAGAACTGAAGGATGTAATGAGCAATGTTGAGCTAAAACTTGTAGTTGTTTCTGATTTCTGTAACCATGGTAACTAGCAGACCATCTTATATTTTCAAATGACCTATGGTGTTTTTCAAGGCCACCTTATCACATATCATGATATATATTTGGAAAGAAATATGTTTTACCTTACCTGACACCACACAGTGCTTTAGCATCCATACCTTATACAAACAGACAGTACTGGAACAGAGAGACAGTTAAAACAGACTATTGCCTGTGCCCTTATACCCAAGAGTTATCCACCTTTGCCTGTACTCCCTCATGTTCTTCTCTGTCTACCTACTTATTAGGCGAAAGAAGCGACTCATAAAACAGAAAAAGATGTCGAGCCCTCCACCTCCGTTGCTGACATCTTCTCCGCCGTCGTTTCCCTCTCCTTCTCTGGCGAACTCCTCTATGCCCACGCCTGTTCTCTGTCAAGGCAGATTTTTTTATATTCCAGCATCCATCTAAGCTTTTGGGGAAGAACTGCTTCAAAATCGCCCTGACAACCTGGTTTTGCCGTCCGTTAGCACCGGATTCGCCAGCGTCGGACCATCGCCAGATTGACGTTCCTGTGACTCATGGGACACTTCCTCCCGCTGGTCCGCAGGTTCCTGTTTGCCATTCCTGTACCACCCTGATGCCTTTGGCAAGCACCTTTGCCAGATGTTGCCAGCTGTCGCCGGGACATAGGCAACTATCGCCAGAAAGTTCCCAACTCTTGCTGAATAGTCACTCATGCTTATGATCACTGCAACTTGGCACCAGGCACCTCAGAACCTGTTCTTCAGACGTTCAGCCCTGGGATCGGTCTTGCTTCTGTCAGGTGACGCCAATCTGCCTCTCCCATGATCATCTCCACACTATTTGTCACCATTCTGATGACGAATGGGACTTCATTCACGATTATGATGAGTGGTCCCCTGACATTAAACTTACACCACCAGACATATCCGTCTGGCTAGTGGATTATCTTCCTTGTGCATCGCCAGGGCAAGACACCTTCCCCCAGGTGGAGCTAGGGGCCTGCTTGAATGGGTCGTTTAAGCCAAAGTCATCGGTTTCTATGATGGATGCTCAACTCGGGCGTCTGGATATGGCTCTTCACCCCTCTCTCTACCCCCTGTTGGCAGTGGCCTCTGCCAACTCGGCTACCCAAGACTGTTAAGGCAAGAATCCTTCAGAAGCTAATGGACAACTTCTCTTCTTTTTGGGCAGGCAGCTACGCCATCTTATTATGTCTACATATCTACAATATTGCATCAGCTTTATCACCATTGCTCGACGCACAGCTCTCCTTAACCAGTCTTCCAGGTATCCTTCCTTTAAAACCCAAATGATGCCTCAGCTTGGGTCTGGTCCTGCACTCTTCCACAACCAGATCCCTCAGGTCGGCAAGGATGCCAAGATTTAGGAGGCAAATCAACAGCAGTTTTGCCTCCTTAACAACATGGAGTGTCTCCTCCCTTCTACACTTTCTCAAAAGAAGTAGTTTTATGTTGGCAAAGGCACATTCTCATTAGGAAGAGCTCTTCCTTTTGGCCAAGATGCCAGTCCCCAGAAAGGACAGGAACACCAAGCCACCCTGCCGAGGAAGTTTCTCTTGCAGGAATCGCAGACACAAGTGACTTCACAGAATCACAGGTGCCGGCTGTCTGACACCTCCCTCCGCCAGTTGTCCCTGTCTAGTTGTCTCCTGTAGGAGGGAGACTTCTGGCTTGCTGGAGAAATTGGCAGTTACTACAGGACCTGTAGGTCACTCAGATCCTCCGCCACGGCTTCTGCCTACATCTTCGTACCATTCATCCTCTCACCTCCAGGTCCCTGGAACCTCATTATCGGCCTCTAGATCTTCAGCCTCTGCAGGCCAATATCGACATTCTCTCACCAAGAATGCAGTGGAAAACCTAGAAGTCGACAACCTCATGCCAAGGTTCTGCTCCCCCAATCTTCCTGGTTCCCAAGAAAGGTTCCCTAAAGGTGCGGGTGATTCACAATCTTTCTCTCTTCAATCAACACTAACGTGCTTCTCCGCCACATTTCAAATAGCTCTCCATGGCACACTTTGCCACATGATCCAGCCAATGGACCATCTCATCAGTCTGGACCTGCAAGATGCTTACCCATCCATGCTGCTCATCCTCGTTTCCTCCAGTTTGTTTTTCGGGGCCAGCACTTTCAGTGGAGAGCAGAAAGTGGAAAGCGCTCCCGTTTGGAATTTCCAAGACCAATCATTGCCTTTCTTGCAGCGGAGGTGAATTTGCCACAAAGCATACATCAATGACTGCATCCTTGGCCACAACACCAGCAGATCTTCACTTGTCAGAGGGACTTTTTTCCCTTCAGCTCCTCCATCAGCTGGGTTTGGTGGACAACCAAGAGAAATCAGATCTTACTCCCTCACCACACCACACTTTCATCAGCAGCCTCTTTCTGACAGACCACAACTTGATCCAAGTTTTTGTCAACGCAAAGGCTGCCTACTGGTTGCCTCAGACAACACCCCAATGATTTATTACATCAACAAGCTGAGGTCTGCACCAGCAGACCTTTCATCTGTTTCTTCTCACTGACAGCCTCCCTCTTCAGATCCCATCACATACCAGGCTGTTGCTGACTCCTTGTCCTGGCCTGATCGTCCTTCACCCACAGAATGGATGCTTTATCCAGCACCGTTCCAACTCTTGTGCGACCGACTGTCTGAGGTCACCCAATGTCGATCTCTTTGCCATGATGAGCAACCACCAACTGCCAGTGTATGTTGCGCCTATTTTGGACCCAGCAGCCTGGGAATTAGACAGCCTCACAATCTCCTCGATAGGCCTTAGTGTTATGATTTTCCATCCCTAGTTCTCATTCCCCAGGTCATTCACAAGGCAGCCCTGAAACAGGCCTCTGAATCTGCTTTTGGTTGCGCCTTACTGGCCAATGAGAGTATGGTTTCCCTGTCTACTCCAACTTCACAGAGAAGCCGTCATGCAACTACCACCTTTGCCGAATCTGCTTCTCAACAACCACACCAGATACCCTCATTCAGACCCCAAAGTCTTCACGTGTGACTTGTCTCAAAGTTCCCTGAAAGCCAAAGGTTTCTCGGCCATCGTCGCTGAAGCAGTTTCCAAGGCTCATCACTCCTCAACTCACTCCCTCTATGATGACAAGTGGCGATCTTTTCACACGTTTTGCTCATCCCGAAACATCATTCCAGTGAAGTCCACCATCCCTCACGTGACTGATTACCTGTTATTTCTGCATCAGTCCCATCACCTTGCTGGCTTCACTATTGCCTCTTACCTCGCGCCTCGCAACTGTGTACCGTAGATTGCCCATGGTCCCGTCTTGCATTAGTGCCAGTTCTCTTCGCCATTGTCCAGGGTTTCAAGCTGGAAGATCAGACAAAGAAGTTTCCCCTCCAACTTAGGACCTCAATGTGGTATTATGAGATTTACATCAAGGGCCTATGAAGCATTCATGTCTGCCTCTTCCAAACGAAGATCCTACCATCAAGACTTGCTTTCTTCTTGCCCTGCCACGGCAACCAGAGTTAGTGAACCTCATGATGTCTTTTGGGCCAGGTTTCATCAGCGGCCCAATGGCTTTGCCTACCTTTTGCTCTCCTGGCTTCTTGTTTTTAAATACCAACACACAGGTCAACCTGATCGCCAGTTCCACATCCCCCCACTTTCGGAGTGCTTCGGCCCAGATGATGACCTTGGACCCGCCCTCTACCCTGTTTGGGCCCTCACCTGTTATCTTGAGGTGTCCATGCTACGGCGTTGACAGCGTCAGCAGCTGTTCTTCCTGTCTCCAACCATAACACGGTGGAGGTGACCTGAAACACCATCTCCCTTTGGCACAGTTCAGCTATTCTTCATGCATATCATACTGGTACCATAAAGTATTGGTACCGTATTCCCCCTCTCTCAAGCCAGATGCTGAACGCCTTGCTTTTGTTGAGCAATGTTCTCTCTATATTCAGACCACCACTCTGTTCTGTTCCGCCTCCTCAGCCTTACCGTTCTGGCACCATTGTCTCCGCTGTGGCTGCTGCAGTGAAGAATATGAGGGAGTACGGTCCAAGGTGGATAACTCCTGGGTATATCGTTTCAGCTGTCTCTCTATTCCTCTGTTCCAGTACTGTCTGTTTGTTTGTATAAGGTAGGGAACACTGTGTAGCATCAGGTAAGTATATAAACTTTGCATTTATCCCGAAATGCGCATATTGTTTAGAAAGGCTAGTTTGAAGTGAATTTGCTTTTTGCAATATGTATGCTAGATAGTATACTTTCCATGCAAATTACCTATGAAATGAGGTCCCATCTGATTGTTACCATGGTTACATGGCATGAAATGTTCAAAATTAATCATGAAAGTCATGGGCCCATGGAATAACTCTAAGGAGCAAGCCTCAAGGACCCCTCAAACATGGCATAATCTAATAATGATATGATCAAGTTTAGTGTCACAAGAGTCACAGCCGTAGAAGGGGCGGTCGGGTAGCCTAGTGGTTAAAGCGTTGGCTCGTCACGCCGAAGACCCGGGTTCGATTCCTGACATGGGTACAATGTGTGAAGCCCATTTCTGGTGTCCCCCGCCGTGATATTGCTGGAATATTGCTGAAAGCGGCGTTAAATCATACTCACTCACTCACTCACAGCCGTAGAGCCACTGTGTTTAATGTCATCGTAAGGTGGATATTCGCATGTGTGATGATATAATAGCTGGTTAACATGGGAAATACAAAAGTTGAATTCTGACGAGTACTAGTAATCTTTCAGGATGGTGCTATCTTCTACCATTATCGAAGAGTTGCAGATGAAGGGAGGGACTACCCCTTTGCCCGCTTCAACAAGGTGAGGACTATGTCATGTAGATGTGCTGGTTACCTTCACCTGATGACACAAAACTTGTAATGATGCATGGTTTTAATGAATATGCTACAGCATTTAGAATGATGACATTATGAATAACAACAGAATTTTAGGACAGAAAATGATATCTTGTTCAATATGCAAATCAACTAAATGTCGTAGATCTGATATACATTTCAGCTTTCTAAAATATTATGTTAGAAATGTATCTTTGTGATAGACCATGTAGATTGAGGATTGAATCAATTTCTTTTGATTATGTTATGATTACTGATGAAAATAATGTTTAAGTAGCCCTTCATCTCTCATAACAACTACAAGGATACCTTACAGATCAAGTTAGCAAGCTTTGTGGGAAGGCTGGGTTAAATGAGGTTCCCAGCATTGCTTGTTGTAACAGGCATCTAAATTGGATCATGTTTTGGGGCTTGATGAATTTGTTGTTTGAGTGTCATCATTCTGTGACAGCATAATAATAATTGCTCATGTTATCAACCACTTGTTCATTTTGATTATTTTCATTTGGTTGTGATAAAGCTGGAATATTGTTCTCGGTAAAGGAGTAGAGGAGATATCATTAAATAGCTGTGTTTTAAGTGAGGTTGTATCGTGTGCATTGCTTTCTGTACACAGAGTGTGGACGTCCCGACGTACTCCGACCTCGAGTATCAGCAGCATCTCCATGACGACAACTGGCCACGCCAGGAAACTGATCACCTCTTTGACCTCTGTAAACGTTTTGACCTCCGATTTATCATCATACATGATCGATGGGACCGGGAGAAGTACCGAGACCGCAGTGTTGAGGACCTCAAGGAGAGATATTACAATGTGTGTAATACCCTATCAAAGGTAGGAGAAGAAAATGCCTGGTGACCTTATGGGTGCTGCTGTTCTTGGATACTGATAATGAGAGCTGAACTCATATGCTGGTGTCATGGCATGTTTTCCATACTTTTTTTAAAGAATAAACATGATAAATAAGGTGCCTTTTGATAGTTTGGGATTTTAAAAAAAGTTATTTTTCGAGTTTCCATGGCACCGACTTTGATTTAGACTGAAAATGGAGGTAGTCCTCGTTTCCGGAGCAGATCTTGAAAACCATACCATATTTCTACACCAAACTTGGCACATAGATAGATCTAGTGGTGAACTGGTGCCTTTTGATAGTTTGGGATTTTAAAAAAATTTATTTTTCGAGTTTCCATGGCAACGACTTTGATTTAGACTGAAAATGGAGGTAGTCCTCGTTTCCGGAGCAGATCTTGAAAACCGTACCATATTTCTTCACCAAACTTGGCACATAGATAGATCTAGTGGTGAACTGGTGCCTTTTGATAGTTTGGGATTTTAAAAAAAAATTATTTTTCGAGTTTCCATGGCAACGACTTTGATTTAGACTGTAAATGGCGCTAGTCCTCGTTTCCGGAGCAGATCTTGAAAACCATACCATATTTCTTCACCAAACTTGGCACATAGATAGATCTAGTGGTGAACTGGTGCCTTTTGATAGTTAAGGATTTTAAAAAAAGTTATTTTTCGAGTTTCCATGGCAACGACTTTGATTTAGACTGAAAATGGAGGTAGTCCTCGTTTCCGGAGCAGATCTTGAAAAACGTACTATATTTCTTTACAAAAGGCCCAGTGAACATAGTTCACAGGAGCTAATGCATTGCACACACCCGACATGTCATATTGGCGGGGGATGTGAGTATTTCATGCTTGTTTAAGATGTGGCTCACACTTCGTTGACATTTTGCTCTTGATGCTGCATCCTCCTCTTCCAGGTCCGAGCCCCACAGGGTTCTGAGCCCAAGGTCAAAGCATTTGATGCCGAGCATGAGAGGAAGAGGAAACAACAACTGATAAAGTTGTTTGACAGAACACCGGAACAGGTGAGCAAATAGCAACTTCATCTCAAGGTCTCAAAACATCTGCCTCCCAGATCAGTGAATCGTGGAACTCCAACTTGCATCAAAACCTGTAAGAGAAAGGAGTAGATGTGCTATAGCAGACAGGTTAAAATGTCAGTGATTAGGCCAGCAGGGATATTTCTAGGGTGGGGCCTTGTGCTGTATTTTTAAATACAATGGAGCAATTTAAAACTGTGCTGTATGGGCAAGTGTGGGTGTACCTCTGGAATATTTGAAATTTTCACATAAATGGCCCATGATAGAAATTTCCTAAAGTGAACCCTGGACCAATGTTCAACTGAAACTCATGGGGCTCCAGTTTGGGGTAATTCCCCAGCCTAACTGAGCTAATTGTTGATCAATCAGTATCTTGTTTATTGCTCATAGGTGACTTCTATGAATCGAGGGTCATGCTCAGTGACCTGGATGAACGTTTCTCATAATATCACCCACTGGTTTGACTGGTCCCACTTGATTATTCCATGCCTCTGTGTTACAGCTGAAATATTGCTGACTATGGCATGTAACAACAGACAGATATACTGTTCAACGGAGCTTACTGTATTAAAGAACTTTAGAAGTGAAATATTGGCTTATTAATTGTTCACAACAAGTGATTTCAATTTTCGATGATAATCTGAGACATGAAGCCTTTTTGATATCACAGTTTCCATTGTCTGTTTGTGCATCAGGTGGAGGAAGAAGACTACCTCATTGCAGAGCTGAAGAAAATTGAACTGAGGAAGAAGGAGAGAGAAAAGAAAACCCAGGATCTTCAGAAGCTCATCACGGCAGCAGACAGCAGCATCGACAGCCGGCGCACAGAGAGGAAGACAACGAAGAAGAAGGTCAACCCTCAACAGAAAATCAAGGAAATGGGGGTTAGTACTGAAAGTGGAATTCAGATGAACATGGATCTTTCTGTCACAGAAACACATATAGCTTTCATAATATAGGCTATAGGCCCTTGTACATTAATTCAGCAGGATTCATCTTACAGTGACAGATGGGTACATTAATATTTCTTATGGACATTTCAAAATACCCTAAAGATCTGGGTTAGAGTAGTTCTTCAGCAACCCATGCTTGCCCTAAAAGGCGACAGTGCTTCTAAGAGGCAACGAACAGGATCGGGTGGTCAGGCTCGCTGTCTTGGTTGATGAATGTCATCGTTTCCCAATTGCGTTGATCCAAGCTCAGATTCATAGACACCCATGGGATGCCCAGGTCTTCATAGACACCCATGGGGTGCCTAGGACATAAAAAAAAACACCCATGAGATGCCCAGGTCATCATAGACACCCATGGGAAGTCCAGTTCATTATCAACACCAATTGGATGCCCAGGGCATCATAGACACACATTGGATGCCCAGGGCATCATAGACACCCATTGGACAGCCAGGGCATCATAGACACCCTTGGGATGACCAGGTCTTCAAAGACACCCTTGGGATGTCAAGGTCATCATAGGCACCCATAGGATGTCCAGGGCATCATAGACACCCATGGGATGTCCAGGTCATCATAGACACCCATTGGATGTCCAGGTCTTCATAGACACACATGGGGTGTCCAGGGCATTATAGACACCCTTTGGATGACAAGGTCTTCATAGACACCCATGGGATATCCAGGGCATCATAGACACCCATTGGATGCCCAGGGCATCATAGACACCCATTGGATGTCCAGGTCTTCATAGACACCCTTGGGATATCCAGGGCATCATAGACATCCATGGGAAGTGCAGGGCATCATAGACACCCTTGGGAGTGCAGGTCTTCATAGACACCAATGGAAGTGTCCAGGGCATCATAGACACCCTTGAGATTCCCAGGTCATCATAGACACCCATGGGAAGTCCAGGGAATCATAGATATCCATGGGATGTCCAGGTCTTCATAGATATCCATGGAAGTGCAGGCATCATAGACACCCATGGGGTGTCCAGGTCATCACAGGCACCCATTGGATATCCAGGTCATCACAGACACCCTTGGGATGTCCAGGTCATCATAGACACCCATGGGATGTCCAGGTCATCATAGACACCCTTTGGAGTGCAGGTCATCATAGACACCCATAGGAAGTGTCCAGGTCATCATGGACACCCTTGGGATGTCCAGGGCATCATAGACACCCTCGGGATGTCCAGGGCATCATAGACACACATGAGATGTCCAGGTCATCATGGACACCCTTGGGAGTGCAGGTCATCATAGACACTCATGGGATGCCCAGGTCATCATAGACACCCATGGGATGCTCAGGGCATGACAGACACCCATGGGAGTGCAGGTCTTCATAGACACCCATAGGATGTCCAGGTCATCATAGACAACCATGGGATGCCCAGGTAATCATAGACAACCATGGAATGCCCAGGTCATCATAGACACTCATGGGATGCCCAGGTCTTCATAGACACCCATAGGATGTCCAGGTCTTCATAGACACACATGGGGTGTCCAGGGCATTATAGACACCCTTGGGATGTCAAGGTCATCATAACACCCATGGGATATCCAGGGCATCATAGGCACCCATAGGATGTCCAGGGCATCATAGACACCCATGGGATGTCCAGGTCATCATAGACACCCATTGGATGTCCAGGTCTTCATAGACACACATGGGGTGTCCAGGGCATTATAGACACCCTTTGGATGACAAGGTCTTCATAGACACCCATGGGATATCCAGGGCATCATAGACACCCATTGGATGCCCAGGGCATCATAGACACCCATTGGATGTCCAGGTCTTCATAGACACCCTTGGGATATCCAGGGCATCATAGACATCCATGGGAAGTGCAGGGCATCATAGACACCCTTGGGAGTGCAGGTCTTCATAGACACCAATGGAAGTGTCCAGGGCATCATAGACACCCTTGAGATGTCCAGGTCATCATAGACACCCATGGGATGTCCAGGTCATCATAGACACCCTTTGGAGTGCAGGTCATCATAGACACCCATAGGAAGTGTCCAGGTCATCATGGACACCCTTGGGATGTCCAGGGCATCATAGACACCCTCGGGATGTCCAGGGCATCATAGACACACATGAGATGTCCAGGTCATCATGGACACCCTTGGGAGTGCAGGTCATCATAGACACTCATGGGATGCCCAGGTCATCATAGACACCCATGGGATGCTCAGGGCATGACAGACACCCATGGGAGTGCAGGTCTTCATAGACACCCATAGGATGTCCAGGTCATCATAGACAACCATGGGATGCCCAGGTAATCATAGACAACCATGGAATGCCCAGGTCATCATAGACACTCATGGGATGCCCAGGTCTTCATAGACACCCATAGGATGTACAGGTCATCATAGATACCCATGGGATGCCCAGGTCATCATAGACACCCATTGGATGCTCAGGGCATGACAGTCACCCATGGGAGTGCAGGTCTTCATAGACACCCATGGGAAGTCCAGGTCACCATAGACAACCATGGGATGCCCAGGTCATCATAGATACCCATTGGATGTCCAGGTCATCATAGATACCCATGGGATGCTCAGGGCATGACAGACACCTATGGGTGTGCAGGTCTTCATAGACACCCATGGGAAGTCCAGTGCATCATAGAAAACCATGGGAAGTCCAGGGCATCATAGACACCCATGGGATGCCCAGGTCATCATAAACACCCATGGGATGCCCAGGTCATCATAGACACCCTTTGGAGTGCAGGTCATCATAGACACCCATAGGAAGTGTCCAGGTCATCATAGACACCCTTGGGATGTCCAGGGCATCATAGACACCCTCGGGATGTCCAGGGCATCATAGACACACATGAGATGTCCAGGTCATCATGGACACCCTTGGGAGTGCAGGTCATCATAGACACTCATGGGATGCCCAGGTCATCATAGACACCCATGGGATGCTCAGGGCATGACAGACACCCATGGGAGTGCAGGTCTTCATAGACACCCATAGGATGTCCAGGTCATCATAGACAACCATGGGATGCCCAGGTCATCATAGACAACCATGGGATGCCCAGGTCATCATAGACACTCATGGGATGCCCAGGTCTTCATAGACACCCATAAGATGTACAGGTCATCATAGATACCCATGGGATGCCCAGGTCATCATAGACACCCATCGGATGCTCAGGGCATGACAGTCACCCATGGGAGTGCAGGTCTTCATAGACACCCATGGGAAGTCCAGGTCACCATAGACAACCATGGGATGCCCAGGTCATCATAGATACCCATTGGATGTCCAGGTCATCATAGATACCCATGGGATGCTCAGGGCATGACAGACACCTATGGGAGTGCAGGTCTTCATAGACACCCATGGGAAGTCCAGGTCATCATAGACACCCATAGGATGCCCAGGTCATCATAGACACCCATGGGAAGTCCAGGGCATCATAGACATCCATTAGATTTTCAGGGCATCACAGACACCCATTGGATGCTCAGGGCATGATAAGACACCCATGGGATGCCCAGTTCATCATAGACACCCACAGGGTGCCCAGGTCATCATAGACACCCATTGGATGTCCAGGGCATCAGAGACATCCATGGGATGTCCAGGTCTTCATGGACACCCTTGGGAGTGCAGGGCATCATAGACACCATGGGATGCCCAGTGCATCATAGAAAACCATGGGAAGTCCAGGGCATCATAGACACCCATGGGATGCCCAGGTCATCATAAACACCCATGGGATGCCCAGGTCATCACAGACACCCATTGGATGCCCAGGGCATTATAGACATCCATTGGATTTCCAGGGCATCACAGACACCCATTGGATGCTCAGGGCATGATAAAACACCCATGGGATGCCCAGTTCATCATAGACACCCATGGGGTGCCCAGGTCATCATAGACACCCATTGGATGTCCAGGGCATCATAGACATCCACTGGATGTCCAAGGCATCATAGACACCCATTGGATGCTCAGGGCATGATAAGACACTGATAGGATGCCCAGGTCATCTTAGACACACATGGGATGTCCAGGTCATCATAGACACCCATCGGATGTCCAGGTCATCATAGACACACATGGGAGTGCAGGTCATCACATCCTTGTGAGTGCAGGTCATCATAGACACCCATGGGATGCCCAGGTCATCATAGACACCCATGGGATGTCCAGGTCATCATAGACACCCATGGGAGTGCAGGTCATCATAGACACCCTTGGGATGTCCAGGGAATCATAGACACCCATTGGATGCCCAGGCCATCATAGACACCCTTTGGATGCCCAGGTCATCATAGACACCCATTGGATGCCCAGGTCATCATAGGCACCCATGGGATGCCCAGGTCATCATAGACACCCATTGGATGCCCAGGTCATCATAGGCACCCATGGGATGCCCAGATCATTATAGACACCCATTGGATGCCCAGGTCATCATAGACACCCATGGGATGCCCAGGTCATCATAGACATCCATGTGATGTCCAGGTCATCATAGACACCCATTGGATGCCCAGGTCATCATAGACACCCATGGGATGCCCAGGTCATCATAGACATCCATGGGATGTCCAGGTCATCATGGACACCCATTGGAGTGCAGGGCATCATAGACACCCATTGGAGTGCAGGGCATCATAGACACCCATTGGAGTGCAGGGCATCATAAACACACATGGGAGTACAGGGCCAAATAGGTTCCTGGAAGCCAACAGATATATTATTCAATAAAGTCACCACAGGAACTGATATTCTCAATACTAAGTATCATGAAGACAGATTTGAACATAATCTTTGATGACTTTCACTTCTTTCAGACGACCCCAGACTCAGGCGGGATCAAGTTTGCAGATTTCAAACAGTCTGGTGTTTCTCTCAGAAGTCAAAGGGTGAGAACATAAGTTATGATTGTCATGGGAATGCCTATAAATTAATTACTGGTAAATCGCTTTTTTGTTTTGCTTCATATTTGTTATGGAAAGGTATGTCAGTCATGTTAAAGTTAAACCTTTTTCTCCCAGATGAAATTGCCTGCATCGATTGGCCAGAAGAAACTGAAAGCTATTGAACAGGTGCTGGAGGAACTTGGAATCGGTAAGTTCTTTGGTCTCAAAATGCAGATTATGGCTGTATTTTGTGACTTTTGAATATTTGGTGCATGTTTGTGGTTGATCACCCTGCTTTATGTTATGATACACGAGACATAGTTTAACACAAATTATGGGATGTCCTAGGGTCCTGGAGGTTTGCCCCTTTACTACTTGAATCAAGGGACCCCTAATTGAACTTTTTACATGGGGGTTTTGTAAGGGATCTGGTAATTTTGAACGCTGATGGAAATTTATTTCCATTTTAGTCATGTAGGGATGTTTCTCCATGTTTACAAGATAATATGTGTCAGGTTTATGTAGTCCCCAAATACTATAATGTAATTACCTACTACCCTCACTAGTTCACTTGGTGCCTGTATTGTTATCTGTTTGTTATATTTTGCCAGAATATAACCCCATGCCAACTGAAGAGATTGTTCACCACTTCAATGAGCTGCGACAGGACATAGTGTTGTTGTATGAGCTGAAGCTGGCTCTTGCTAACTGTGAATATGAGCTGCAGACTCTACGTCACAGGATGGAACCAGATGGCTCCGCACAGGTAGGTCTTCATGAGTCAGTATGAGCAGTGACAGAATTACAGGTAGGTCTTCATGTGTCAGTATAAGCTGTGACAGAATTACAGGTAGGTCTTCATGTGTCAGTATAAGCTGTGACAGAATTACAGGTAGGTCTTCATGTGTCAGTATAAGCTGTGACAGAAGTACAGGTAGGTCTTCATGTGTCAGAATGAGCTGTGACAGGAACAGGTAGGTCTTCATGTGTCAGTGTAAGCTATGATATAGAAGTACAGGTAGGTCTTCATGTGTCAGAATGAGCTGTGACAGAATTACAGGTAGGTCTTCATGTGTCAGTATAAGCTGTGACAGAATTACAGGTAGGTCTTCATGTGTCAGTATAAGCTGTGACAGAATTACAGGTAGGTCTTCATGTGACAGTATAAGCTGTGACAGAATTACAGGTAGGTCTTCATATGTCAGTATAAGCTGTGACAGAATTACAGGTAGGTCTTCATGTGTCAGAATGAGCTGTGACAGAATTACAGGTAGGTCTTCATGTGTCAGAATGAGCTGTGACAGAATTACAGGTAGGTCTTCATGTGTCGGTATAAGCTGTGACAGAATTACAGGTAGGTCTTCATGTGTCAGTATAAGCTGTGACAGAATTACAGGTAGGTCTTCATGTGTCAGTATAAGCTGTGACAGAATTACAGGTAGGTCTTCATGTGTCAGTATAAGCTGTGACAGAATTACAGGTAGGTCTTCATGTGTCAGTATAAGCTGTGACAGAATTACAGGTAGGTCTTCATGTGACAGAGGTACAGGTAGGTCTTAATGTGTCTGTATGGAGGTATCCCATGTGATGTTTAGAGCCCTAGAAGAGTTGTCTGTTTTTAAATGCAGATAAAATACAGATAGATCTGTATCAGATTATCCTGTTTGATGCAGAACATTCGATAGTAAGCAGTTTACATGTTCAGAGAATGCAATTGGTCATGTGATCACTGTGCTAAGCACGTCTTCTCTTACCATATACTGCATACTCCTCCCACCATATACTGCATACTCCTCTCACCACATACTGCATACTCCTCCCAAGCCAGCCTAGCATTACAACTGTCATAATGTTAAAGTAAGTTAAGATCGTGTTGGCACTATAATCTAATTGTGGAATGGGACCCGGATGTAGACAGATCAGTTCCTTGGCCTTGTGACACAAAGTACTCTGACTGTCAAGTCTTCCATACTATAACATAGACTTGCGATAGCCCTGTTTCATTAAGTGATGGTATCGCTATGACTATCGTAACTCTCATACTGTTACATTCACTTATGACAGTCATTGCACAACAATCACATTGTGAAACAGGGCCAAGAGCCTAATGTTCTGTTCTGAAACACATCAAACACTCTTGTCTTGTATCTACAAGTTTAACAATTCCTCTCTTCCAGCCCTTAGAAATTGACCCCTTGGGTACCTCAATTGGAGGGATGGTCATCAAGACGGAGCCTCCCTCCCTTCCCCCATCTGCTCCTTCCACCCCAGCTCCTGACCCAGGGTCTGCCTCCACCAGCGTCACACCTCCGTCAGGTCCCATCTTTGATCCCCAGTCGGCAGAGTCCCCCAACAAACAGAAGAAGGTCCTGGAGACAATCGATGTGGTCGGGGGAGCTCCAGGAACACCCAATGTGAGTCGGCAGGATCTAGGGGAGATTCCGGGGCAGAATAGCTCCCCATGACCTCCTTGTCGTGAGAGGACTGTTTGTGATATGATACACACCACTATAAAGTAACATACAAAACATGTAACAAATATTAATTGCCAAATATAATTTTCTCAAACAGCAAGTTAATGGGGAAAAAAATCCTGTCTGAGCTAGTATTTGTATTTTGCTTTTGACAAGATTCCTTTATCACATTTATTCAGAATATGAAGCTCTTGATAAAGAAATTCGGATCTCAGGAGTACAGATACATGTTCTTGTACACATCTAGTGACATTTTCCTTATTCATGTACTTTCATTTTGCAGAGAAAACGGAAGGCTGCCCTAGAACAAAGCAACATTCTCAAGAAAATCAAACAGAAGCCCTAGGAGACGTCCTCCTCACTGTACAGATGCTGGGGATGTTTTGGAACAGTACTTGTATGCAGAATTCCATCCATGTTCTCTCAATATACATCACCTCTTCCAAGCACTCTCAAGTGTTGCATGTCTGGTGCAAGGCTGTGTAATATGCTGGACAGAGTTGTGTCCCTTAGTTGAGCAGGATCAGATATTGTTGGTTCAAATCCCAAATTCATCCTGATTATGATATTTGTGTCACCACCATAGTCATGGTTATAGGTTGCACAAAGGCTGTAAACACTGTGATCTGATTCACTGTGGGCTCTTCTCAGACATTAACCTGACATGCAGTGATGTAACTGAATGCTGTGGGGCTACACTCACTGTCAGGATAGATTGACTGGTGTTGTAGTACATATGGTGGTATCAGTGCATCACAACTTACACTAAGGCTTTTCTCTAAGCTATAGGTCTTCAGCAACCCTTGCTTGCCGTAAAAGGCGACTGTGCTTGTTGTAAGAGGCGACTAACGGGATCAGGTGGTCAGACTCGCTGACTTGATTGATGCATGTCATCGTATCCCAATTGTGTGGATCGATGCCCATGATATCAATCCCTGGATCATCTGGTCCAGACTTGATTATTTACAGACTGCCATCACATAGCTGGAATATTGCTGAGTGCAGCGTTAAACAACAAAAAATCTAATCTAAGAAGTGATGTATCACGTAAATACTGCATTTACCATATTAAGCACCCTGATTCAATAAGCGAAACACTTGCAGGAATTCCAGAAATAGAATTTGCGCCCAGTAAACTATGTTGTTGTAAGAGGTGACCAAATGGATCAGTGGTCTGGCCCAGTGATTTGGCTGATTGCATGTCATCATACCCCAAGGGTGTGGGTCGTTGCTCATAATATCAATCACTGGTTTGTCTTGCCAAGACCATCATCATGCAGCTGGAATATTGCTGGTCGCAGCAATAAACAAAAACACAAAGTGAAAAATTACGTTATGAAGTTTAAACTTTCTCAGTTCTCTGCAGCATTTCGCAGAAACAGTGGGACTCGGATTGTTTCTGATACATCAGGGCTGTGGGGTGGCCAAATGGTTCAAGTGTTTGCTCGTCACGTCGAAGGTCTGGGTTTGTTCCCCACATGAATACAATGTGTGAAGCCCATTTCTGGTGTCCCCTGGTATGGTTGCTGGAATATTGCTAAAAGGGGCATAAAACCCTACTCACTTCCTCACTCTACGAGACATCAAGGTTATCACTGGGATTCCTTGCCGACAAACAGTCTGCAGATAATTAATGCCATGTGTCGATATCAAGTTGATTAACAACTGTTTTCAGAGTATTGCTCCCTCATCAATGAAAGGAATTGACTGAAGAGGGAAGTGAATCATGATGCTCTCATAAGCTTTCTAAGCATACAATGTGTGTTGTGTGTAGAGTAAAAGTTTGTACATAACAATCAGGATACTGTGATGTGCAAGCTGGTGTATTGAGGTAATAAACTATTACTTCGGTTCATTTGTTGGTGTGTTTTTATCAATTTCATTAGATAGAGGCATGTGTGGCCCAGTCTTCTTAGGCAATGCAGTTTGCTGTGCAGAGTTGTGTCCCTTATGTGTGCCAGGATTTAAACCAGGCCTATGTTGCCGGAAAAATTAGTCATTTTCTGAAGCACTGTATGTCAACCCTTGCAGTTTTCAGATTCTAGAATGCAATGATGTCATGATATAATGGATGACGTCACATGCTTCCGTGAACACTAAACTTGATCATATTTATATAACGCAGTAGCCATTTCACAAAGCCGAATGGCACTTTTGGGGATTGGGATTGAGAAAAGTATAAAGTATTCATACAGAGTGAAAAGTGAGAAAAATGTCCAGGCTTGTATGTCATATTAAATGATATTATGCAACATCGTTACTTCAAGTTCACAGTGTTAAGCACAAATTGCCTGTACTGGGCCAGTTGCACTTTACAGATAGCAGCTCTATAGCCTTAGTGTTGAGTTTTGTTTCAGCAACAACATGAGGCCCTGTGTTGTGTGACATTGAAACTGACTTTCCATTTTGCAGCTAAAAAAAAGAAATCAAGAGAAAAGAATTTCTGCGTTTTTTATGCACCTGCATGGAGGTCGTGTCAGGTGAACCCTGAACAAACTTTGACGGTCCAATCAGAATGATGGAAGTCAGCTTATAAAACGATTCAGCTTCATATCTTCACCACCTCGATTTGGAAATTCTGATCTTAGCAAAAGAAACCACACAGAACAAATTTATCCTCAATATTACACCCTTTTGGGTGTAGATGCCATGGCAGGATGTATAGAATATCAACAGCAAGGTAATAGCACTGCTTTATTATTTTGCATACAAAAATCAGATATGCTTGTCTGAGTGCCTCCCTCACTCGTATTGAGAATTTATAAACCTTGACACTGGTTGGCTGATTACAAAGTTAAACAGATGTGACCTTATGGGGGTGTCCTCGGGTCTTCACGCAGACATTTACCACATCAGAGTGAAAGATCTGATTTTTATTAGATTGACTATAGATGCTGAATACATTCAGTATTTCAGCTTAGACCAAACACCAAAACAGTTGTGAAGTATATATTTATTATTATAAGAATAGAAGGTGTACACAAAAAGGAAAATAGATGTACTAACAACTAAAATGCCTTACATGAGATCTTGGTATGTTCAGTAGTTTCAATGAAGATCGGTAAAGTTTCTTAAATTTGCTAAATTATCGACAGATGGATGAATCCCCATGACAAAAATTCATTTTGACCATGTCAAGGTGACCTGAAAACAGCAGTCATTCCTTTTGCTCCAATTTGTGGTTTGTTGATCACAATAACAGTCCCAGTTCGGGCCAGTCCAGACGGGTCCCTGCATATATCTGGAAATTGGCAGCAAACACACCAAACAACAGCTCATGTGGGACTTTCTTCATTTGCATAATCACTTTGTATACTGTGATTATACTTGTACATGTATAAGTACACATATTTTATTAAATAAAGAAATATAATTCATTGAATTAAAGCATTAATATATATTAATATCAACACAATGAACCTGTGAAGATCCAGGTAGAGAATTGGTCTTCAGCAACCCATGCTTGTCATAAGAGGCGACTAACGGGATCGACTTGCTGACATGGTTGATGCATGTCATCGCATCCAAATTGCGTGGATTGATCCTCATGATATCAATCACTGGATTGTCTGGCCCAGACTCGATTATTTACAGATTGTCGTCATATGGCTGGAATATTGCTAAGTGCAGCGTTAAAGAACTGGGTTAAACAAACTTGACACAATGTTTCATGTACCGTTTTATCTCCCTAAAACTACTATAACATTCTAAAATTGTGTTCATACCGATATGTACAATAACAAAACATAAACAAATACATGTATTACACTGAAACCTTGCTCGTCCGGATCCCTAAATCCAGAACCCCTCATTGAACAATTACTACTGGGAATGGGTTTTGAGTTATGCTCCGGAAAGAAACTCTACCCTATAGAACCTAAGTCCAACTTGTTGCAATGGAAAGGTAAACAATAAAAATTTCTAAAATTCCTAAATAGCAAAAGACACCAGTTCAGTATGTGCCTAGTAGACATACAAAGTTTTGTAAGAAAGTATTTAATGGTTTTTGAGTTACGCTCCGGAAACGAGCACCACCCTTATAGAGCCTAAGTCCAACTTGTTGCCATGGAAACGTAAAAAATATAAATTCACTAAATTCCTAAATAGCAAAAGGCACCAGTTCAGCATGAGTCTGATAGACATGCAAAGTTTCGTAGAGAAATATTTAACAGTTTCTGAGTTATGCTCCGGAAACGATTTCGGGATGCACACACACACACACGCACACACACATGCACACACACACACACACACACACGGACGGAACCTATTTCTATATCCCCCGCCAACTTCGTTGGGGCGGGGGATAAAAACATCTTGTTTCTCTGTGGAATTCCAGGGCATGATACACAGGTGCCAAGTACCTTGTCATTATGATAAGAACCGAGGGACGGTGGGGTAGCCAAGAGCCAAGGGACGGTGCAGTAACCAGTGGTTAAAGCGTTCACCCGTCACATTGAAGTCTGGCTTTAGCTCCCCATGTGGATCCACTGTGTGAAGTCCATTTCCGGTGTCCCCTGCTGTGATTGTCCTGGAACATTGCTGAAAGCGTTGTAACACCACACGCACTTAGTCCATCACTTAACAGCTGACTAGCTGATCAGGTGGTCACCATGTGACCTGGCTGTTTGTCTGTCAACAATACCCTGATGGTTGGATTAATTGCTCATGCTGTCAACCACTTGGTAAACTTCCCAGACTTGACTATTTACCAGCCACTTAATACAGTTGGAATATTGATGACTGTGGCATAAAATAACATGCATTGATATTCCTTGAAACTTTTATATGCATTCTGCAATAGATGCTTATTGATTTCAAGGGGACCACTCCCTCTCTATTTTCGGTTTCTTCAATTTGAGTGGCACATCTGTTGGATTAGTGTCACATGGTATCCTCTTCTCACTGTATGCAGTCCGTGAATCTGAGGTCTTGTATCCCGATGATGTGCTTCTTGGACTGCACTCTGAACCTGGAATGAATTCAGGGGCCATGATTCTGAATGCCGACTCTGGATGTTTAACATCCTTCTTTGTCCTGGCCACAGGTCTGTATTGCCGAGGTGTCTTGACCACCTTCAGAGCAGGAGAGGATCCATGCTTCGTATGAGATGATGAAAACTTTGTCCCGGGAAAAATGACTTTCCTGGCAGTATTTTTCTCTTCTGTTTCTTCCCCTTCCGACCACTCCTCATCTTTGTCTATGATATCCGGAGGAGCACCCGATTCCCTGATCAGACAGTCAAGCATAGAGCACCCCTTGCACTGGTGTTTGTCTTTTGTTCTGTCCACCCAGAAGACTGAGATTTTGTCGTATTCCTCTGGCTTCAAACTTGCCAGATGTGCCTCAATGGACGATGGAGAAGTAGAACTGGGAACGGTGTCTGGTTGACTTTTGAAAAGTTGGTCAAGTCGGCCACCTATATCATCTGACTTGCCAACATAGAAGGGTAGAAACTGTACCGATTCCTTAAAGTCATGGATGTTTGCTATCTTAAAGTAGCCACTTGTCTTGGTTTGTGGTCTTTCAAAATATGGAAGTTGCCCTTTGAATAATTTATGGCAAGCCTTAATCTGAAAACAGAGGCAGGGATTTTTTTACTTTTTGCAAATAATATACAGAACCTTGTTGTTTTAATAGAATGTGGGATAAAACTTTGTAGTTCATTTTTTTCATAAAATTCCTGGAAAAATAGAATGAGAATTCTTCAATGGACTGTCCTCAGATCTTTACATTTTAGTGATGAAAGGGTAAGAAGTAGCCCTGAAACATTGAGTATGTACAATAAAGTAGTTGTTATCCATTATAATACTCATTGTTTTAATTTCAGTGAGACATGAATATTACTGACTACAATTCTAATTAACTTTCAATATTATATCATCGATCCCAATTACGTGGATCGATGCTCAAGATATCAATCACTGGATTGTCTGGTCCAGACTCGATTATTTACAGATCGCCGTCATATAGCTGGAATATTGCTGAGTCTGGCGTTAAACAACACACCAACCAACTTTCAATATTACCCATAGGGACAAGGATGGAGGTGAAATTATTTTTAGTAAATCTCACTGAAATATATACTGAACTGCAAAAGAAACGTCAATTCATGGAAATACTTCATGAAAGTTTCCCATTGAAATGTCATTTTTTGGAAGTATCTCGCTTTGACATTAGTCTGTATCTAAATTTTATGTTAACGACCAGAAAGTGCCACAAATATTGATATAATGGCTCACCAAAACGCACCTTCACAAAATGCACTTGTGCTTTTTCTGATAAACGGCCCCCCAAAATGTGGATCCAACATTCTTGTATCAATACTAGTGCCATGCCAAGACTTACAAAGAATCAAAGACACCAGGCTTTAGGACGACTGCATGCTGGCCAGACTGCTCGCATGATTGCCAATGCTTTTAATGTCCACATGAGAACCATCTACAGATTACAGCTACGATACCAGGTCACCATCAGCATACAGTCGTCATAAGGCCTGGTTTCTCTGATTCTTCGTAAGTCTTGGCATGGCACTAGTATCGATACAAGAACACGATTGCAGCTACATAATTTGTCAGGTTTTTTTTAATCATATTAATCATAAACACATTTCAATTTGTCATGGCATACATGTGTTGAGTATCTCACCTTTTTTGTTCTTTTCGCTGCTTGTGGGTTGTCTTTAGCAGAAGAAACAGTTCCTTTCTCCAGTGAAAATCCTGATGTTGATGGTGGGAACATTGTAGACTTCTTTTGACCAAGGTCAAGATCAGACTGACTTGAACTTCTTAAAGGTGAATTCCCAACATAATTGTCTAATGTGGTTTGAGTTCTGTGCTTGGGGGAGGTCAATATTTTTGCAGTGTCATCATCTGACTTTGATGGTGTGCGTGAAAGAGAAGCTATTTTACTTGTAGAAGTGACATCCATCGGTTTTGCTCTTGATATGTCTTTGGTTGACATTTCTGGTGACGGAAAAGTGGTACTGGTACAAGGAGATGTGATGTCAATGACTTTTGGATTTGACTTGACCCAAGTCAGCTTAGTCTGAATCTCTTTTTCTGTAAAGGTTTTGGGGTTAATGGCAGCAGGTTGTCCTGAAAGAAATACAAAACTGTACATATTCTGAAATTACCAAGACTGGGAGCAGTCACAGTTTCCAAAATAAATAATAAAATAATTCTTCAACCATGAGGAATATTTTATTTCTCGTCACTGTTTCTCTGTCATATGGCAGGAATATTGCTGAGTGTGGCATTAAACAAAAACACAAAGAAACAGTTCTTACGATCATGTCACACCAACACTGGGTTGGTATAGAAGACAAAGAAGCAACTATCATTCCAGTGATCTTGACTTGAATGAAGGTCACTCAAAAACTTAAGACTTAAATGCCCCACCCCAAGGATTTGTGTTGCAAATTCTCCTTCTTCATGTTCTTGAGTTATCATGAACATAACAGATTTTTCAATGACTAAATGTGACCTTCAGTATCAGGTAAAAGTATTGTAACATTCCCAAGTGCAAAAGAAATTTCAGTCTCATTAAAATAAGTTTTTTTTAACTCAGATACGATACCTGTGTTATGACCTGAGGACACCTTGATATAAAGTTGTGTCACGTGAACCCTTGACTGCTTCAAATTTAGGATGAATGGGCTCTTAAGCCAATCAGATGTCATCTTTCTAGAATGATAGGCTTCATGTCTTCATCCCCCAATTTGGAAATTTTTATTTTAACAAAAGAAATACCAAAACAGGACACAAGTATGCCTTTGATGGTACTCACTTGTGGGCTCTATGCCATACAGCTTAGAAATGACTATCCATAACAACATAAACGTGGAGCCTTCATTATGTACGTTCAGGAAAGGTTAAAGCTTATTTTCGAGATACCGAAATCAGATATGCTGGTCGAAATGCTTCACTCACTCGCTCACTGAGAATGTAGAAGCCTGAATGCTGATTGGCTGGTCAGAATGTACATCTGACGCTACCTATGGAGGTGTCCTCAGATCATCACAAACATTCTTGTTTTCATACAATTTATCTCCTAATACAATAATGGAACACAAGACTTTGAATTCATACATCAATATGTAATTTTATAAACTGTAAATAACATGTTTTTATTTTGAAGCCTACTGACCATGTTGAACTAACAAAATCATTAAGCTGAGCTACAAAACCCTTCTCCCCCTCCCTTCAAATATTTTTTCCCATAACCTTTATCCAAGATTAACATGTGTTATAGGCCCCACTAATGCACTCCAACTCATCATAATAGACAACAGGTCCATTACCAACCCAGCTTAATAGAGCTGGGGTGAATCCAAATTTACTACCTGGGTACCCAACCTCCTAATACCCGACCCTAACCAGGTACTCACAGCAGGTATCAAGAGTTGGGTACCAAATCTCCCATTGGGAATTATTTTACCGAGCCCTGGCAAAAACTACATGTATGTAGACACACCGCTACACTAAAACTGATCATGCAGACACTGAAGCTGACCGAAGGTCTATTTTTACTCAAACATATAAAAGTCAGAAAGAATGTGTGCATTGTCAGAGAAAAATACAAACATTAGTAACTTGTAGTGTAACCATGGAGTGTAATTGTTATTGTCATCAAACAATGTATCACGTGACTAGCCACAGGTGTGGGTAGTCCTGTGGGTACCTAGGTCCTACTCAGGACCCAACTGACCCAATTACCCAAGTTACCTGTCCCAGCCTCACAGCTTACCCGTATGTCCAGACATGACATCCTGCACATCAACCGAGAGCTGACTTTCCACATGGATATGAAGCCTCAGTTGATCCTTCACAATAGTCAGCAGATCCTTGTTTAACAGGCAAGTGAGAATCTCCTGCAGTCTGTGGTGAAGAAACTCTTGCACGTTGATGTTTGAGTCCAGCTTGAGGTTGAGGATTATAGAGCCTTCTTCCACAGAAGTTACAAGAGCACCTTGCAGGGGGAGATAACTGTTGATGATACACTGATTATCCTTGAAAACTTTGAAGAGTCGCCTCTCTGTGTCAGGATCCTGTCCGATGGAAGTGATGGTTATTTTCGCTGTATTTCCAGATGTGATATCTCCTATTAATGAAGGATCATACATGTTTAGTGCAGATCAGACAAAACATTCCGTGAACAATCAAGGTGGCTTTGAAATGAAGGCAGGTGGTGGGTAGCCTCATGGTTAAAGTGATCCCCCAAATGGGTAAAATGTGTGAATACTATTTCTGGTATCCCCTGCCCTGATATTTGTAAAAGCAGCATCAAATTATGCTCACCATTTCAAATGACGGCTTGCTACAAGCTGAGGACAGCAATGTGTACAGTGAAACACTTAAACTGGACAATTATGTTCCCATTGAAATCAACGGGAATAACAAATTTAGGGACTAATGGCTTATTAGTATATTCCAGCAATATCACCCCAGGGGACACCAGAAATGGACTTCTCCCATTGTACTGACATGGGAAATAAAACCTGGGTCTTTACCGTGACTAGCAAACGCTTTAACCACGAGGCTACTCCTTCACCCCAACTCATTAGTAAGGAGTTCTGTAAAGACAATATAACTGAAATTCGTTTTGCAGATGAACTGAAGACTAACAGGTTGATGTTTCAGATTAGAACCTACCAATATGGATGTTGGTGATATTTGTGGACTCCCCGATCTGTGTAATAAGATTACATCCAAGATCATCCATCTGGAGAGTGCACTCATTTTCCAAGCCAATCTGGACAACAGTGTTAACTGAAACACCATTAGAATCATGTCAGTCCTCTTACATCAAGACAATATCATGGATAATTTCATTTCTGTGCATACATAATGTTATAATTTTTTAATCTGAAGTTTACACGATATACTTCTTTTCCATTGGACGAGAGGTCGGTCGCATGACTGCGAAATTGACGTTCATAAGTGTATGAACGACACAATTTGACGTTCATACGTTTTTCACGAGACCCGTGTTCTTGAAATGACGTAAACACTGACGGACTACTTCCAAATTCCTGGGGAAACCCCTGGGATTTCCCTAGCATGAAAACATACTTAAGCATTATTTCTGATCATTTAGAACCTTTTATCTTGGTCTCAGCATTTCAGTATACATTGAGAAACGTTAGAGAGCTTGACTGCATGATTGTTCACGAATATCCTCGCTACGGCCCATCCTAATATGAACAAACGAAAAAATGCACATCCAAACTATCGTCAGTATCGACTCGATCTGTGTCTAGGCTGACAGTGACCGTCTCCAGCAATCTACGAATTTACCTTCGTGTCTGTTTGACGCATCTTTAATCACCTTTCAATAATCGGTCAGTTGATCAATGATGAATAACACATGTAACCGCCACAGGTTCATTAACGACTTCGGAAATCCTCCCGTCACGTTTATCGTGTCGGCCATTTTGACGTCTTGTACTTGATGTAAATGTATTATGATGCGCTGTCTTTGTGACTGACTTACTAAGGTAGTTCTTTACAGACCTTTCTCATCTAATGGTGTTATTATTTGAACACGTGTTGCGTAAGATGTTTCTGAAGAGCAAGTTGTGCATCCATACGCCCATGCCACTTCTCTTTTTGAGGAACTATTTTATTCCGCGATATAGCTGGTTGTTGTATGGCTGTCAGTGTAAACATGAAGTCACACGTACTAAATAAAATTGTGTTTAGATCTTGGCCTACATCCTTTGAGGTAAGAAACTGTGATAATTTTTTAATAAGAATTGACTTTCACTTTGTGGGAGTTCATTGGAGTATGAACCTTCAGAGAGTGAGGGCCAAACATTGTATGAATGTCGTCGCAAGCTCCGACGTTCATACAGTTTGGCCCTCACTCTCTGAAGGTTCATACTCCAATGAACTCCCACAAAGTGAAGGTCAATTCTTAAATGATCAAAACTCCAAACTAAGCAAGGGAGGTAACTCTACCAGCCATATTCTGGGAGAGTTGGTACCAATTAAAGGGCAAGTTCACACGGAAATGAACCTATTTTTCTTGTACTTTTTCCACATTAAAAGTGTTAACATAGAAGTGTCATAGACAAAAATATAAAAATATCACAATTAATTAACATATTTTTCGCATTAAAACGATTTATATTTTTCACATTTACCAAGTGTTCTATTTCCACAACAAAAACACCATGGCTTATGCCCCTTGCAATATGACGTCATTGGTGCCAATTGATAAACATTATGACGTCATCCTGCTTTGTTAGAGCCGCTTCACGTGGTGTAGGTCCAGGTGTGTGATTCTAGCGTCTCAGATGCCAGCCAGCATAGTGTTATGCTGAGTCACCACTGCGCCGGAGTGTGTCGTACGCCATGTTGTTTTACCGCAAACTGGTACTTGATATCTTTTGCATCAATTACGTCATAATCTAAGGGGGATAACTCAGGCCTGTTTAGCTCGAAAAACGAAGGCCTCATAACGGCATATCATTTTCACACTATTGTGAGCTTCCTACGTTCACTGTTAAAAAAATGAGTGTATATTTTCAAACACAGATACTAATTAATTCTAAAATTGCGTTTTGTTTAGAAAAAGAAAGAAAGTGATTTTTGCGTGTACACTTCCCCTTTAAGTCAGCCTTCAGTTTCTCTGAATACTGTATTTGACGTAATATAAGCGCACAGGGCGCTCTCAAAATTAGAAATAGGGGGCTCTTATTAGGATATAATTTTAGTGAGAAAAATAAACAGAGTTGAAAGATCATAAATTTCGCGGTTTATGCTGACAGCCTGTAATGATACAAAGAAAAGTCTGTGTGTATTATTCACGACAGATATATTTTCCAGAATTTAATTGGCCATAATTAAGGATGCATTTAACACATGATTGCGTATTATGCACGAATAAATAAGTCTTGTGTTCATTGATCATTCGGAAGGGGTGCTAATTGGGATTGTGTACTAGCCAATATATTAACAAATATCGCCGTGGGCACTTCTTAGAGCGGGGCGCTTATTACGTCAAATACGGTATATCATTTTACCTACTACTTCTGGGACAGAATGGCGCCGAAATCTGTTTCCTCATTCTTCATGATCCAGTGGATTATGTCTCCATCATATCATTAATCCTGGCCTTTAGTCATCCCCACCATACCTTCATTTTGAGTCTGGCTCAAATGGTACATTCAAATTACTCTTTTATCATGACTGAAACAAGCAGCAATACCACCAGTACTACCACTACTACTGCTACCACCACCACCACCACCACCACTACTACTAATTACAACAACCACTGCTATTACTACCTATGGGGCGGTCGGGTAGCCAAGTGGTTAATGCTCATGATATTAATCACTGGATTGTCTGGTCAAGACTCAATTATTTACAGACTGCAGTCATATAGCTGGAAGATTGCTGAGTGCGGCGTTAAACAACAAACCACCACCACCACCACCACCACTACTACTACTACATACTGAAGCTAGAGAGCCAACCACCCCCAGTATTGATGTCACGTCACTGGTCGCAGGTCCTAGGTCAGTGTGCAATCCCGTAATACATCATCATTATTGCTGTAAGAGTATGACGTCACAATATGACGTCATTCACGAGACATGTGGCCACCATGTTTTGAACCCAAAGCAGAGTACCAAAAGAACACGGAATATTCCGAGAGTTACCAGCAACACATATGTCTGTATTCCTTATCAGCATCACATCAGGTACATACTTAAAGTGTTGTTTCCAGTTTGCCAGTGGTATTTCCTCGCTGATTCGGGTAGGCGATAAAATGTTGTATTGAATTTCCTCTCATCTTTAATATCATCTATGACATATATAGGCTTCCCAAGATCAGAAAAACCTGAAGAAAAAAAAATTATTTTAGCAACAAAGAACAATAAAAAATAGATGCATCAGCTTATTTAAAGATAAATAGGTAAGACTACATCTGTAAATTGCTGAAGTCTATGCAGTCCATCATTGCCAGAGTGAATGGAAGTCTTACAGTGTGATGTTCAGAATGTTTTGCATAATGCATGTATGTATTCACATAAATATGATTCTATCATTAGCTATCCAAAAGGATTGGGACCTTTTGTCAATCTCACTAAAATCAGATCTTTAACTCTGATACAATACTCTTAACATGAAGATCTGAAACAGAAAATTGGACCTTTTGTCCATGAGTTAACATTGAGAATCAACCATTCCTTCCACACTCTGCTTTTGAGTGATTATGGAAGAAAATATTCCCATCTAATCACCATGGCCCCATGTTCGTATAAAATAAAATAGCACATGTGACTTGACAATGAAAATATCTAACTTACTGTCCAACCATATCAGGGCATCAAATACTCGCTCTTTCTGAAATTTGTCTGCCATTCTTGAATCAACAATAAGATACACGGCTTTAAAGCTGACATGTTCTTGAAAGCAAATATCTGAAAGAGAACAGAAATGTTAAAAGAAATCCAGCTTAAAAAAACACCTTGTTTCTCCTGAATGGGTAGGGAGGAAGGATTATATTTTGAGGCATTTTATTTCTTTACTTCTTTTGTTAAAAATCTATAAGAAGTAAACTTGATTCTAATCTTCCATGTGACCTATTTTGGCAATTTCCCCTGCAGTTCAAGGTTTGAAGACATAGGCCCAAGACTGGTGACCTCTTTCAAGGAATGGCATAGCATAAGCAAAAACAAAAACACAGTTGAAAAAAATAATTATATGTGCTTCAAAAAATTACACAATGGGAAAGGTAATTTTAGGTGCAGTACAAGAAAAACAGTTATTGACTATTACTGATACATTATCATATAAAAACTAATAAAAAATTACAACAAACACAAAAGTTTAAAGTTTAAGTTTAGGAGTATTTGAACATGACAAGTCTCAGACACAATCAGTCATGTTTTAACATTTGGAGGCAGTTACAGGAAAGCTATATATCTAATCCTTACTAGACAACTCTACTTCTGTACAAATACTGTTTTGTCCAAGCTCGGCTCGAAGTTTCTGGGCTGTCCTCTCATTGCCCCGGTGTAAGATACCTGCAGGGAAGTAGCACTGCATGTTAAAACAGTTGCACTGAATATATGATAATCTTAGGAAAACAAAATACATGATATTTTATGCAAATAGATTGAATTTAAAAATCGCTCCCTTGTGCTAGCAGGTCGTCGATACAATGGTTGTCCGGAGGATGAAGATGGGGAAGGGAAATCTCATGCTATCAGTGTTTCCAGCTTTATTGGAGATAGTGTGCAACAAAGTAGTCAAGTACTGTGATATCGACGCTTGTTTCAATCATGAAAGGACAGGGTAATTTGACTGGAATCAAATCGAAGCTATAGTGGTGAATAGTTTGAGGTATTTAACATAGCAGAATGGTGATATACACTGGAAAATTGAGGATGCAATCACAAAGACTAGGCAATTGGTTCTTGTATCAAAGATCGTCAAGGGGCAAAACTTGTTTTATTGCAGTGCTCTTTTGAAAGTACATTTGTTTGTCTGAGGAACAGGTGGTCCAGTCGTCAGCATGATAAACGTGGTGAATGTGAAAATAGTTATTCAAATATGGTCTCTGGAATGGGAATTCTGAAAGCCATCCCCTCAAAACTATCAGAAAGAACAATGTGATTCAAGGGAAGCAACTCTGTTGACCCTGTTGGCAGTCTTTCAGTTGTGTGTTTTGTGAAATGGGGTTTAATGTCACGTTCAAGAGTAGTGCAATTATTTAGCAACTTGCATGCACGTGTGTGTGGTTGGTTGCTTGTACTAGTCCGGATTAATGCTGATTTTATAGTGCTAGTACCATGCTGCAGTTTAACATGAATACCCTACTCAGTATACTCTGAGCCGGCCAGTCCTTGTTTTAACACCCATAAGCGCCAGGCATGTTAACAACAAATACCATCTTTTGATGTCTTTTGGTATGACGTGAACGGGGACCGAACCCCCGACTTTCTGCTCTCCGGGCAGACTCTCTACCACCAGACCAATGAGGCAGTCTTTTGAGTTCAGCACCACCTTGATATTAGGTTTATGATAATCAATACACTTACACACAGCATTTGTTCTTGTTCTTCCTGTTGCTGCTGTTGTTGATGTTAATGCTGTTGCTGATGCTGATGTTGATGCAATATCATCCTATAATAAACATAAAATATAATAAATTTATCATAATAATCAATTTTGATGACAAGATCTGAGCATTTATTTTGTTTTCAAATCATGTATAACCAGTAAATGAAAATAATCAAAATCAGGTTTTCCACACAATAAAAGAAACAATTCCTAACCACCCAAACATCATGCATTCCCAACCATTAAAAGAATTCATAATATTGTATTTCTATCACACCGATTATGACCATTGTCCATCAGTTTTATACAAATAACATAAAAATAATAGTCACTGAAATAACGGTAATGCATTCAATCCTGATAAGTTGGCAAACAATTCTCAATAAGACAGAACACAAAAGTAATACAATATTCATCAAACCATATGAGATCATGAACAAAAGTAATACAATATTCATCAAACCATATGAGATCATGAACAAAAGTAATACAATATTCATCAAACCATGAGATCATGAACAAAAGTAATACAATATTCATCAAACCATATGAGATCATGAACAAAAGTAATACAATATTCATCAAACCATATGAGATCATGAACAAAAGAATGAAACAATCAGGAGGTAATCTGCCAAACAATCTTTAAACATAAACAGGGAGACTGTAGCACATGTAAGGCTTTTATAAAAATTATTACAATTCACAACCAAAGCAACAAACAAAGACCCTTTTAATATGATGGACCAAACTTTTTGAATGGGATAGTTTGTTTGTGATAGAATATCAAGGTACACCAGTCATTTCTCAAAATCGGGCAGCAAAACAAGTTTTGTGACTCACAACACATTAGTTTTAGAACATCCAGCATTGATTGATTGACTGATTGGTTAATTTGTTGGTTGGTTGGTTGGTTGGTTGGTTGGTTGAGTTGTGTAAAACCTTTTTCACCAACATTGTGAGGAACTGATTGTTTTTCAATCCATACCAATTTAATCAAACAAGTTGCTCATGCATTCTCAGTTTTGTTTTTATCATTCATTTCAGTTTGATTTTTTACCAGCATTCTTGGGAACTGATTTTTTTCAGCGCATATCAAATTAATCAAACAGGTTCATTTGAGTTGCCCACACATTCTTAATTTGGTAGTTTTCCATTGATACGTACAAAGTCTTGTTGAAACCTCTGTATTTCTTCCATCGTTGTATCCAGCAGGTCATAATCCTGGTGCTAAAATAATAAATAATAATTAAGCTTGCTAGCAAACAAAATATTTCATAAAGTCACAGATTTTTTGAAGTGCTGTTTTATGAGTAAATGCAGTGACTATTAATTGATAAAGATGCAATATTGTTTTACTCCTTTACAACACATTACTGACAATATACTGACATATTGTCCACTATCTTTATACATTTTGTTCTTTGAGATGCAATTTCTGTGTAATTAAGATCATATCAATATTTAATCTTAGAACTTCTGTTAACTGGTCTGAAAAGTTGAGCTTGATGTAAGGCCATCCTCAGCAATCCAGTGTATTATAGTATAGTATTGTTTAAGAGCCTGATTCAAGTCCATGGATATCTGTCCCATCAAATTAATCTTACAAGTTCAAAAAGTGCTCTGCTAAGTTAGGACTAGGAGTGATTGAGGTGGTGATGTCATTTCCGAGACGAAGCAATGGCTGTGAATGGGTACAGAGAATTTATCATAATCATAATACTAGAATGGTGACATAATAAACTGGATTATCGAGGATGACACATGTGTAGGTACAGCTTTTGTGGCAGGTAGCAGTGCATGTTGCATACAAGGAGATTTATGAGACCACTCAGACGTGGATCTTCAGCCCAAGTCTTAAGGAAATGTCAGTAAAATATTGAATTGACACTTTCCCAAATCATGTCACAATACTGGTAGTAATTAGTACTAATTACTAATGTTATGACTTTGTAGGGGTGACTTGTATTTCACTTATAACAGGGCCAACATAGAGGAGGAGACCTTAGGCTTAGTTTCAAATTATTGCCTAGAATGTAATGTTAAAATACAATGTTAAAATACCACTTAATTTAGGAAACTAAGAACTTAAAGATCCCAATCATAAACCATATAAAGATTTGTTCTCCAATTTGCCTGCCAATGGTTCTTAGTTTGGAATCCGGGATAAATCCCTCAATACAAGTGCAACAACACTCCCCATCTATCAGGATCCGTGTGCGCGCGCGTGAGTGCGTGCTTGCGTGCGTGCGTGCATGTGTGTGTGGTTCTAAGGATTATATATATATTTATTATATATTTTCAAATTCCAACACAAACAAATTGATATTGTTATACTTTTTTCTCTTTACATCAGCAGATATCTGCATTGTCCAAAGTTATAGTTATATTTGATGTCTTTTAATTATTTGTATAATTGTACATTTGTACTAGTTTTAGATTACACATGCATGACTTTTTAGCAGTCATTATATGTAAGCAGAATCTATTATATGTAAAAACAAGTAACAAATTAAAAAAATGCATTTAGATATATCTACATGGAATGATAGTGGGGTTAAATTTGCATTATGTCATGGTAAAAATATTTGATTATAAACTTTCTAAAATCATATTTGCTATATCATAATATCTAATAAATAGACTTAATACTAAGTACTGGTGTCTTGAAGTACAGGATAGAGCATGGGTTGTAAATAACTTGTCAACATACATGTTGTCAAAACAAGAACATACAACTATCATTTCACATCTATTTATGTATCATACACATCTTTGTGGGTTAGTCATGCAGTATGATTTGTTTTTTGTTGGGACAAATTATGGACCAGTGCCGTCAGTGGTACTTTATGCCTGTCAATGTCCGTGTGCTGCAAATCCAGGTGTATCTCCAACATTTTATTACATTGAAGTCCGTGGTAGAATAAAAAAAATATTAAGATTTGAATGCTGCAACAGTTAAGGACTTGTCACGGGAAATAACACAAAGGCTGATACTAGTGATAAGCAAAATCAGAGAGTTTACATTATTTCATCGATGAGATATGTTACCTAAGACCACACGACCATGTTACTACTAATAATAATCAACAAATCTGCAAAAAACCTCGACTGCGAGTTTGTTTGTTGGCATTATTGGGTACATGGTCCTGTGCCAAGACTGACTCGCTTTTTTCTGACGTAGAAAAATGGCGTGGCAATATATACCGTTTTTTATGGCGTTTTTCCCGCTATCTTGCTATCATCGTGGCAATTCGTGTTTTAGTTGAAGACAGAAGAAATGTTAATATTCTATACAAATAATCACTACAAAATATGAGCTAGTTATAAATATTTAGTCGTAAACGACCGATTTTGAATTAGGTTGCTACAGGATAACGTTTTAGCTTGGATCCTTCTCTTCCAGTCACACGTTGTCGCAGCGCACATTGAACCGGGAACCAGACCGGAAGCGACTGGTTAGACCGTCTAAAAGAGAGTTATTGCCCTTTGGAACCCGCGGCAAAGACCATATATCGGTATATGGTCTCTGCCCGTGGTAATAGCATACCAATATTGATTTAACACCTTGTATTATGTTGAAATCACAGCCATCACATTGTGTTACATGTTCACCTGGTTTAGCATGTAGTTGTTGACAGCAAGCCTCTCCATCAGTAAACATTCACAGGGTCACACCCATGCATGCAGGAAGGGGGACGAGATCACCGCTACAACATGTGGGTTGCATTTTCATCACATTATGTCATAATCAACAAATTAAAGACACCCATAAACCCTGAGCCAATACACCCCTAGTGATTACTTTATCACTTTATCATTGTTTTACCTATCCACCTCACCTACTTACCTAACCAAAGCTAGCCAACCCCAGAGAGAAAGTGCGTGTTTTTGTTGTTGTTGTTTTAATTTGAACTATGACATATTCTTTCGGGCATGAGAAACTATTAACTAAACTATATTCCACAGTCATGGTGCAGGACTATAGCTCAAGCCTCACTCCAAGATAATAACCCACACATCCTGTCTCCTCCAGTCTAGTCCGGGGTTCGATCCCCGGCCGCGTCCAACCAAAAGACGTTAAAAGATGTTGTTACCCTGTCTGGCGCTCGGCATTAAGGGGCTAAAACAAGGACTGGTCGGCTCGGAGTCAGTATACTGTGTCTGAGTGGGGTAGTCATGTTAAACTGCGGCATGGTATCTCAGTGGGCTAGCACTATAAATCGGCATCAGTCCGGACTAGTACAAGCAGCCACACACACACACACACACACACACACACACACGTGCATGCACGTCTATATATAAGTGCAATAATCTTGGACGCGACGTTAAACCCAATTTCACCTCACCTCACCTCCTCCAGTCTAACCCAGGCCACCCCATTTCAAGCATAACCTCCACAAACCAACCGCTGGCTCTGCTGAAGACATTCAACTTCAGCCATCAGTCTAAGCTAAGCCATCATACCCAAAGCTCCACCCCAACTCCAACTCTGAGATATTCGACAACGCGCCACCCCAACCCAACCCTTGGACCCCTCCATTACAGCTCTCGGCTATGCGCGAGGGTATCTCCGTGTCATAAACACGTCTCTTCGATTCCTGCGCAGACACACTGGTGCACGAACACTAGTATTGACCTTTTAATAAAGTTATTCCCGTCAGCGATGATGCGTTTACTACTACCGGAGACTGTGACAAACCCAACAACTGAATTATATGCTATAGCTCTGGACTTACCTATCATTCACAAAGGGGCACCGACTCGCTCCTTTACTGTTTAGAGTACGTCCATTCGTATACTCGTTATGGCTGACTTAGAAAATTAAAATGATTAACTTCATTAGTACGAAGTGGGTACACAAAGCCTGCTTATCAGCTGCTCACACTTACAGTAGCGTACTATACAGCCTCTGATAACGCTGCCGTGACCTATATAATTATATATATATAGATAGAGAAATGTACACAGCAAAAGCCACTTTCACTTTCGGTCCAGCAACATCACACGAAGAGACGTAAAATCTAAATCGTTCTGTGATATCGGTGTTTGAAAATGAGTGAGTGTGTGTTATTTTACGCCACATATTACAGCCATATATCACGACGATATATCTGTCGACATTAGGGTTCAGTGACAGACATTGAGCCAGATTAAACACGTATCAAACACGTTGGGTGCTGAAAGAAACAATAACTATGTACAGTCTGGCTAAATCACTTGTCAAGAGGGGGCACGGGTGGCCCAGTCGTCTAAGGCGCCGCGATTCGCTGTGCAGAGTTGCGTCCCTTGGGCACGCCAGAAACCTATGATTGTGGGTTCGAATCCCAGTTCGCCCCGATTATGTTTCTAGGTTTGTCACCACCATACCCGTGCTCGTGGGTTTCACCTAAGTGGTAAACGTCTGAGACCTGCATCCCTGTCTTTCCTCCCACATTAAGCTGACACGCCGTGATATGACTGGAATACTGTTAAAAGCGGCGTTAAACCCAACTCACACACACACATTTGTCAAGATCAATTTAATGTACAGTGGAACCTTTCAAAACCATACCCTGACTAATACGGATTCAAGTCAACACCAGACCATATTGGCGGTTCCGAATTTACTATGGTAAATAAAAAAAAATTAAAAGAAATAAGTTACTGTATTTTTATTTCCTGTTTCGATATGTCTTGCTGTAACCTCACTAATCCGGACTAAACTTTCGGTCCCACAAAAGTACGGTTAAGGCAAATTCAACCTTACATTTTAGAGAATGAGAGTCGATGGCGTGATAACGAATCGGAACTTGCTATCATGGAACTGCATGTCGCTTATATCGATCCCAGCGAAGATCTGAGTTAGAACTGGTCTTCAGCAACCCACGCTTCTCATAAGGGTCGACTAACGGGATCGGATGGTCAGGCTCACTGATTTAGTTGATGCATGGTATCGTATCCCAATTTCGCAGATCGATGCTCATTGCGGCAGTCACTGGATTGTCTGGTTCAGACTCTATTATTTACAAAACGAGGTCGTATAGCTGGAAAATTGCCGAGTGGGGCGTTAAACTATCAAACAAACGTATACAGGCGATCACATTATAATTCCACTGTCAGGCGCAGGTAGAAATAAGCTGGTTATCATACATCTGACATAACTGATTAACCCTATCAAAAGTTGAGCAGTACTGTTCAAATCAAAATACAACACCTCTAATTCTCATTGAGAGGGGGGCATTTATGTGTTCAAAAACTTTAAGAAAAAGGTTTTACCCGACATTTACCTTTTGAACTTCTCTCTTATGGGCTTGCTTGCAGCATTGTTATAAACTGACGGCCAAAAGGAACTTTACCACTTTAAAAATGAAATGGCAAAACTTGAAAACATAAGTTCAAGCTAAATCAGTGCAAATCATATGGTCCAAACACAACAATGCTTTATGCAGAAAGTGATACACGTCCACGTGTATGGCAGAAAATGCGAAAAAGTGAAAAACACGTGCCCTTTGGTCAGCCGAAACTACACGTGCAATAAGGGTATATAAATGATATGGACGGTATGTCAGACACTCACACTGATAACAAAAACAAACCACAGATATGCCACGAGTGACACCCGAATAACGCGAGCAGTCTCTGGGTATGATACAGATGGGAGCCACCCATGTCCACATTGCTAGAACGTTTGTTTGCTCCCGTGTTGCTGTAACCACCTTATGCAACGTTACAGACAGTGAGTGAGTGAGTATGGTTTTACGCCGCTTTTAGCAATATTCCAGCAATATCACGGCGGGGGACACCAGAAATGGGCTTCACACATTGTGCCCATGTCGGGAATCGAACCCGGGTCTTCGGCGTGACGAGCGAACGCTTTAACCACTAGGCTACCCGACCGCCCCGTTACAGACAGACCGGGCAGACATCAGACAGGCCAAGAACAGGCAGAACCAGGGTTACTACGCCCAATGAAGACCGGTGCTTTTGTACTTTGCATCTCCGAATTCGATTCCTGACAATGACGTCATCAGCGACGAATGCCTCAGGGCATATGGTTAGTCGACATAGTGGCCAGGCGACTAGGGGTTCAAGACCTTACAGAGGACAATTATTGGCAGCGCAAGATCATCGTTAGACTAGATCATCGTCAGAGATTGTGTTTGGGCCCGGGCTACACGTCGTTGGTAGCGACATGCCTAGCAGAGGGTCGTTTTCCCTGAGGAAAGCAGGTTCGGTTTGTTCAGAGCTGATACAACACACCATGTTTACCGCCGAAGGGGAGAAGGAACGGCGGTATGTTGTTTTCAGGGGGTCGTGCGGTATGGTGGAGGGGGTGTTATGATGCTGGGAGGAACTAGTGGGCAGGAGAGAACACCACTGATCATATTTAACGGATATTTGATAGCTCAACGTTACATGGTTGACATTCTTCGTCCGACTGACGTATCATTTCTACAACAGCTGCCACGTGGTGTCATTTATCAACATGTCAACGTCAGACCCCCATACAGCCCGAAGCGTACAGAACTTCCTTGCAGCCAACTACGCCCACGTGTTGCCGTGGCCTGCACGCTCCCCAGACAAGTCCCCCACACCCTGAACACCCCTGGGATGTCATGGATCGTCGTGTTCGACAGCGACGACATCCTCCATCCAACCGACAAGAACTGATCCAGGCCTTCCAAAAAGAATGACGACTTATCACACGTGACGTCATCAGACGAATGATCTTCTCTGTGCGCTGGAGAGTTTTTGCGTGTCTTCAAGCAGGGGGTGGTCACACACGCTATTAACGTGACATGACATTGAACTTGAGCGATTTAAGATATGTGTAACCTTTGTCCATTACGTTGAAAGTTTGTTTTTGCTACCCCACCTAATTTGGGCAACTGTCATGCCAATATCGGATGCTGTATGGCTGTCATTTTAACAAGCGGTCCTTAGCTACGTATCGTGTTATCCATAGTTCGAGACAGGTAGAGTGCGATATTGGACCATAGTGCAGGACTTTACTAAGACTATCAAGTCACATTGTTTGAAGCTCGAGTTGACGATGTTTTACAATAATTTCTTTGAAATCCCTCAGGTAATGTCTGTGGGTGTCTGCATTATTGTTGTAAGTTAATGTCAGTGTGTCACACACAACAACATGCGCAGCGACACTGGCCAGTAGTCGATTCGATGAACAACATTTATCATTCCAAACTTGCCTCAATGGGAGATATCGCTTAGGTGCTTTGCAGAGTATTATGACGTCATCGGTTACCATGACGTCAAAAACATTCATCTCTAATCTCTCCACCATCGAAGCTGGGTGGCTGTACTTTTCACACTCAGGGCACTGATTATATAGAAGTTATAAATGAGCATGTGTTTGATACTGATTTTACGACACAAAAGTCAGAATTCTTGTATTTCCCATGAATACATGAATTCTTTTAGCAGTGTACACGAGTACAGTATGAGACACACAGTTGAGTGTACAGATTTCTTTCTTACCCATTATTTCTTAATCATTTTGAGTAGCCTTAGAAAACCACAATTGTCGGAAGACTTCAACAGCTATGACATTATTTCTTGTGTTACGTCATTCCGACCTTACGTCACAATTAGATTCGAATGACGTCAACAATTCCGTACGGATGACGTAAACAATACACTGGTGCGCGTGAAGTGATATTTGCACTAGTGCACATATGAATTTTATTAACTCTGTACTGTCTAAAAATACAAGATATTTCATGTGTGGAGTGAAATATCCTGTTTTTCTGTGGGAGAGAAAGGAGATATTTTCACGAGCGGCGTAGCCACGAGTGAAAATATGTCCTTTTCTGCCCGTTACGAGATGAGAGAAGCGTGATATTCCACTCCAATTTCATATCCTATTTATTATATACTTTTTGTGTAGTTATCTCCCGGAAAATAAAATTATTTCCTAACAAATGTAAAACCATGAAATGTATATTCTCCCTACCTCACACACAGGGACGGTTCACCACCTGTTTGCGACTAAAAAAGTAGTTTCGTGTTTGCAAAATCTTAAAATATATATATCAAAAGTAACAAAAAATATTTAGGGTCACGAAAATTCTGTACCATACATATTAATATGATTATATACAAAATCGACGTAAACAAAAAATAGTCTGTTGGAAGCGAAAGAATACACGCTTGTCAAGTAACAAAAATGGCGCTTTGCGAGACGAACAGTCTCGATTGAAGAGTTAGATGAGAAATTTACAGTTTATAACGAAACATTTTCAAGAGACTAACAAACGGCATGAAGCGATAGTAATTCCATAAATAACCATCTGTCACTATTTTGCCTTGTCAATGTGGAACTAACGTAAAAGGAAGTTAATAGTTTGTGAACGGGCCAGACACACGATAAAGGGAGATAATTTGAGGGGATGTAACTCTTGTATGACAATAGTTCCGTCAAAGTGTCTGGTTGACAACAGTGAAATATCATTGCTATGAAAATATCACTTGAAATATACAAAAATACTGTTTACAAACTGAAAATGTTGGGAGTTGGGAGTATTAATACAGTTGATATCAAAAACGTGCATCAGTATGTCTCAGTAGACGAAAAAAATTTGGTACTCAGATTAAAACCTTGATGCCTCTGTCTTGTTTCGTCTCCGGATAAATTCCAGGTGTATGGGTTATGCATTCTTTCATGGAACACCGTTCAGGTAAAAAAACCCGGGGTAGAATAGTTCCCCAGCAACCTTTACTTGTCGTAAGAAGCGACTAAAATGATCGGGTGGTCAGGATCGGTGACTCGGTTGATTGCGTATCATCGTACCCCAACGGCATGGGACGTTACTCGTGATAACAATCACTGGATTGTTTGGTCCAGACTCTATTTTTTATAAACCTCTGTCATTAGCTCGAACATTGGTAAGTGTGGAGTTAAAGAACAAAAAACAACACTTTCAGGTTGTAGAACCGTTATGTCAAAGCTTTTGGACACTTTTGGCGAGAGCTCGGCTTTTCCAAGTTGGTGATTTCGTTAAAGATTTAACTATTCATAATGGATCTTTTACAGGTCACATTTGTTTATATTTCATTATAATTATTATTTAGAAAAAATATACATGTACTTAAGCATCTGTAGTTAATCTTGATGTAATGCATAGGTTGTCTCAAAGGTCATCCATCAGGCCGAATAACTTGTGACTCTATAATTAAATATTCTACTCCCTTCCCTGCATTGTTTGCATCAGTTTGGCTTGTACCTGTTTGTCGGTTGGCTAGGTAGCGACGGGGTGCTTTCTGTAATTGACAACCATTAGATATACACGTCAACCTGGTGCCACAATGTCAGTCGGTCTCCTGGTGCGATTGCGTCTGTGTTAGGTAAGGTCTGATTGCAGTTTGGAATCAGGTGCTAATAACAAGTATTTGTCATTCATAAATTATTACCTCACTGACCCTACACCATTATCGTCTGCTCGATGCGCGTGGCACGCGACAGCTGGTCGAATCACACCGAGCAGACGACAGCTGTGGTCAGCTTGTCCGGTGGTCATTTTCACTCATTATTGACTTGGCGTCCACGCGACCGATACAAAGAGCTGGTTTAAATCTCCTGGGACAGGACTACAGACAAAAGCTAACGGTAAACTCAAGCTGGGTGATGAACGAGGTTAAAAGCAGATCAGAGAAATCTGAGGCTTCAAAGTCTCTGAGGCTACACCGCCATCCGCCTGAAAGTACTTTGGACTTGTTCGTGTGTAGACGGTGCTCAGATTGACGCAACCAACTGATTAAGCTGCCCTGAAGAAACAAAGCAGCTTTAGTTTCAATCAATAACATTTGCAACATGTGACATCTGGGCCCCCCGCTAGGGTACAGTCACTGACAAGTAAAACACGTGGTCCCACCCGGAATAAAACCAAACAATAGTCAAAATAAAGGAGGAAAGTTGAATTCTTATCACGTGTTGCTTTATTTTAACTGTTCAACGCCGAGGCCTTTTGTCGTGTTTCAGCTTTTGGTCAAACAGTAGGAATGCAACAGCCGTGTTGAAAGTTGAAAGCAGTTAGCGTGCGGCACAGAGGTGGACTGGGGGGATCGGGCGTTGTATTCTCCTCCCCTGCCCCACGCGAACACACAGCCGTGGCGGGTATCCTGTGACAAATATATTACACCTATACAACGTCTTGATGTTTCTCTACCCCTACTAAACAGCAGCTGTTGAAGTGAATTGACGAGGGAGTACACCAGCTGACAATAATTCATCGGATTAGCATACATACTTCTAGCTGTACCAACATTTATTTTAAGCATATTTTAATATATATGGAAATGCGGAAATAAGAATTAACAAGCGGTTAGTTAATACAAACCGAGGAGCAAAAGAAACCACACCTCTCAGTTGATTTATCATGTTTAATTTCCATTTAAGCAATATTATATCCAATAAAGTAACTACTAGCGCCTAGTCAGCACTTAAAGAACAATTCTACATGTTGTTTTTTTCAAAAATATAATTTGACTTTTTTTTAATATTTAAGAAATCGGATACACAAGTGCTGATGGGTATCTTAGAAATCTTATCTTAGAAAGTAAATACATGTGTTTAGGGTTTTATGGTTGCACATAGATGTCTTGTCCCAATCTTCACTGAACCAATATATTTTTACACAAAATTACCCAGCTACAGATTACTGTTTACAAACCTTTGCAGGAATGAGTGATGGTTAAATTACATAAAAAATAACCCTCGGTATACTTTCTTTTGTCCCTTAGTTTATTTAGATTTTACAATAGCAGATATATGACGTTATATACACTCCAGTGGTTGCCAGGTTGTACAGATAGGTTATATTTTCGGGGTTATTGGCCGGGGGAGGGTGGGTGTGGGAATATCACCCCCAAAACATGACAGGTTCATATTGTAAAAGGAGAAGATAAATTGTGAGGGGCATGGCAAAATGGACAGTTGTTTTTTTGTTTAAGTAAAATGTAGTGTCATTTTTCATGAGAAAATAAACACTACATCTGTTTCGTGTGTCACAGTGGACAGTAATTTGTGGTCAAGGTCGAAATGGACAGCAACCTGACGTTCTTTATGTGATACATATATCTGAGAGTACAATAGCTAAAAATTGTCTCAGAAACGTTTGATATATATTTTCGTTTTTAAATGTTTCGTGAAAAAAATTGGTGATAATATATTTCCATATTTGGTAAAGCTACTTAGCATTCAATCAGATGCATACTTCTGAACAGAAACAGGAATTCACCATTAATACTTTGAGATTCGCACAATGTACGCGCATATACATTCACATGCAATCGTAGAACTAGCACACGCGGTACAGCATATTTGATTGCATCCTCGATTATCCAAGTTATTTTTATAAAAAATAAGGTATTTTCTCGATTAAACGCCGGATCCGTATTAAACACAGCATCTCGACGAAACGCCGGGTATTTTTTTATATGCAGAATAAAGAAGAATTCCCATTCTTTGCGATTAAACGCTGGGGGTAAAGAGTGTCTGAAAGAAATGTACCTCTGTGCGTTTAATAGAAGAAATACGGTACACTGGACGAATTCGCTAACAGAGAACGATACCAAGGAAAGGTATCAAACTACTGTGGCTAGCGAGAGACATTCCGTGCTAAGTTAGTGAGTAGGGACATCACTTCCAAATCAAAGTCTATCTACTCGAGTATGATTTGATAGGACTTTAAATACACGGTTAAAAACGAGATCTTATCGCTCTGGGGATCGTACCTCATATACTAGTACTTTAACACAGACTTACGATAACAACGCTTTGGAAACGAAGCCATGCAGGGCTGCCTTGTACCATGTCGCACTTAATGTCGGACGGCAAATAAGAACGCTGATCGATTTGTTTTATTTTAAATACTGCAAAAAGCGGATCAGTTATGTCCATAAAGTAGTAACGAACAGCTCGTTTACATCGCAGAAGACCATAAACGTATAACGTTGCAGGGAAAAGTGATGACATTGAATATGACTATCGATCCTAGAATGCAAGTGGACCGGAGCCGTTTGCTAAAAAGCTGCTGAAATATTCAAACTGTTAAATGAAAAATTGATAATTGAATGAATAAATATATTTATACAGCATGTCATTAGCTGGTAACTTAGTTATAAAACAACAAGAACATACTTGCTTGTAAATATTATCACATAGCTTTACAAGACTCACTTGCATTTTGTTCGGTAGTGTTTTTTTGTCTGATATTTGATAAATCGGTTAATGACCTGAACGGGATTATTAGTGGTAGCATAATTCCATGAAACAAACTGTCGAATATGATAGAAAATCCTTCTCTGCTCCATCGTGATTGTATACGCGAGATCTCTATCAGCGACAAAATCAGGCAGGTTTGGGGGCTGGTTCAGAGACGGGTGAAACAATACCTTAGGCTGTCACCCCTATTCCAGCAATGGGCGGTCCCTACATTCACTGATACCTCGTTATCGACACGTGGCCGGCGCGCGACCATATTCCCGCAGGGATGAAAGGATGGGCGACAGGCGTACACAACACGATTCGTTCTCGCCGTGCGGTGCGCTCTTTGTTTCAAGGTCGGCAGTTGCTACCGAGGGCCAGGCCAGTTTGCCTAACGGTTCCAAAAGTCGTATAAAAGGCAAGCTTGGGACGCACAATGCATGTTAGGCCTGGACCGGGTGGGTGGAGGGGCGGTTGTACCCGTGGATACCGTCCAACACCGCGAGCGGAACACACCCAAACAGCCGGCTGAAACACTTGGAGCAGACGACAACTATAAATCTTGCAGCAAGATGCCAGATTCATTGAAAGACGGCTGTGAGGCCCGGTGGGCATGGAGCAGACGGGACAAATCTCACGAAGTAAGATTGTATGGTAAAAAGATGCAGACGGCACATTTCCACCCCAACTGGAGCAACGGCACTGCCGGTGTTCGAGGTACCAAACCCCTCAACTATGGCAGGCACTACTGGGAGATCAAGATTTCTCAGAGGATATTTGGAACAAGCATGATGTTCGGTATCGGCACAAAACATGCCCGTCTGCATGTGGATGCGTTTGTAAACATGCTCGGCGAAGATGAGCACAGTTGGGGACTCTCACACAAGGGCCTTCTCTGGCATAATGGAAAGTGGAGGCGATATTGTTCTCCATTCCAGGAAAACGAATCGACAATAGTTGGCATGTTATTCGACTGGTCAACAGGAACACTGACGTATTTTAAAGATGGAGAGTGTTTGGGAGTTGCATTCACGGAACTGAAGAAAATATCCGACGGTTTGTATCCAATCGTCTGCTCCACAGCTGCTAAGACAGAAATGACCTTGGGGTTAAAGTGGCGAAGCTTTTCCAACTTGCAAGACCGGTGCCGAGCGACTATTCTTACTAACCTTGCAGAGGAAAATTCTATTGAGAGACTACCACTGCCAAATCCTATGCGAGAATTCTTGCGAGAAAGTGGCTGACCTTAATTGTTGTTGTTTGTGTTTTATGCATTCATTTATCAACATCGATCGTTTCATAGATTCATATGAAATACAGAAACCAACGGGAGAAATCTGTCTCAACTGTACAAAGACTTCCAAACATTGACTCCAATATGGCGTGCTCGTCCTGACAGCATTGTTTCGCCCGTCGCTGGATGCTGCATAATTGATAGCTATAATCGATACGAAGATCTATGGCCGCTTGTCCCCAATCTGTTGCCCTTTGTTCGGGACAGGGTATGGGTAAGCCAAATTCACCACCGTTATTATAGCTTCCTACAAAGGTTTCCAGTGATGTGTTTCCAAATTATACATTTGACATTAATATTTCAAGACGAACACTTAGGAATGTGTCCACATCATGGACAATGCGAAACAAAGGACAAAGCTGCCACAGACACTGATTTTGAAATGTCGCCCAACGCTGACATTTCGTGTATAGTTATTAAGTTATTAGTGAAATATTTCCAAGTGCTATTTTTGTACAGAGCTTACGGGTGATATCGTATGATACAGTAAGCAAGGATGAGTCCAAGCTAGTCAAATTGTGAATATGGATGTGTGTTATGTTCGTATCAAATGTTTGTTCGCAATTTCGCTCATTGTTGTTTATACGCCAAATATAATATTATGAGGATAATTCTTCAAGCAACACAATGTAATTCGTTTACTCTAATCATATTCCGAAATATATGGATTCAGTATGTTCGATTCTGTTCATGACAACAGTTTCAGCTGTTCTGATCAAATAAAATGAATGCTGGGCGAGCACTTACACTGACGCTGTATGGAAATCGATTTCCAACATATTCTTTAGAAATAACCATCAACGCTGCTCTGGTTATAGCTTCATTCAGAACCAGAACGACAATGTCATTACGCGTGTTTTAGCAATGAGCGTTTTGCTAACTTACTTTTGTGTATGTGTCTATTTATGTATGGAAGACTAACTTCAACATTGTCATTCCGTGACGATAACAGGCGGGTACCATGTGCAATATATTTATGATACTTGTCAATAGCAAGATATAATATATTTTACTATTTGAATGTTGTAGTATTCACTCTGCTTTAATTTATTGCCTTAGAGAATTTCACGGGTCGTTGAAATCCATTGTACATAGACCCTTATGCAGTAGTTTCAATGTGTGTTTAGTAGCGAGCTGATAGAGGTCATTTTTTACATCGATGTATTGTAGATGAAGTCATGTTTTATAAATTTAAAAAATGAAGTAAACATTTATTCTGTATGAGACTTACCTTTTTGGTCGTTTGATTCACATGTGATAAGTTCTGGAAATTGGTAGCGTGTGCATTTCCATCCATCCTCGGCACACAGTGGTACATTCCTGTTCGCTCTACGTGTACAGATTAGAAGAGAGTGGCGAACAGAACATGTACCATGTACACCGGGGATTCTGGAATGGTCGTAGTTTTCACATTTGATGAATAAAATCCTTCATTTTGGAAACCAACATTAAAAATTAGAAACCCAGTAATGGGGAAATTTATTTGATGTGAAGATACCATAAAATTATTTATAAATGAATATGTATCTGCTACCAATGTTCAAGATTTCCACAACGTTTAACTGAATATTATACACCTGAGACTGAGCTGATCTCTCTATTGATAGGTTATATTAAGTTTAGTAGGTAAATAAGCATTTACACTATTCCAAACTCCGGATTTTCAAAGGATTTTACCAATAGTTTGTCATAGCCGAATTTGTTATTCCCACAAACAATAGATACATTACAACGACTTGTTTGATTGGAAGTGAATGAGTTGTAGCCGTTTTCCGGTATACTGCGCAGCATTTTTAAAAATAGACCTTTGTGATTTGACAATTCGCGTTAAGAAATCGTGTAATTTTGTTGAATGACGTCTACTGTTGGTATACCCGGTCCGCTCCGAAATCCCTGCATGTATGCAGTTCACGAATTTACATTTCAAATAATCTTATTAGTTTTCATAATTTTAGATAAACTACACTGATTTTATTAGAAACGTTAGAACTTAGTTTCTTTTGTGTAAAAAGTTAAACGAAGGTAGATGAGCGTGTTATTGCTATTCAACGACTTAATTACCGGGAGTAGAGAAAAACATTACGTTTAGAAGTTAATTTCTCCGTTAGCTAAGCCTCACTGAAATAATTACCGCATGCCGATTCTTCGTAACGTTGGGAGGGGTATAGAGGGTTGGGAGAGGATGTTAGCTGCCATTGTCTCGGTCATTATTGATCGATCATGCCCGTATGTCGAGAGAGCTCTCTCCCAGTGGGGGGTATTTTTCGTTATTTGAAATGCTTTGAACCTAACAGTCTCGCTTCGGTTTGCACTAATGAGTTCCATTCGACAAAGGTATGATCACGTGACCGACATGATGCATAATTAACTATAGGCGGTTCATTTCACAGATGTAATTTGAGGACTAAAATAGAATAAGTTATTTGAAAAGGATTCTTCGAATTGCCCCTTGTCCTGATATATTTCCTTATTAATGTTCACCGACTGATATTTTAATCTTTATATTATCTGTTTAGTGGATTGAATTAGAAATATATGCATACGTTTAGGCACGAAGCTTTGGGCAATTAACAAAATTTAAAAAATGATTAAAGACGTCGAAGACTTTTGGAAATAAAATTTTATGAATATGTCAATCGAACAGTTAATAACCTTATTACAAAGTAATCTCCTAAATATGGTCTTAGTTCTCGTTATAATAAGTGAAGCTTTGCGTAGCGGCAGTGAGCATCAGTATCTGATTTTGATGAAAATGATTACAGGGAGACAATGTCTCGGTTTGACGCAAGACGCATACATTTAGACCTGGGCTCCTGCACTGGAGCATAGAGCTATGTTATTGCACGTGCACTTTGCGTTGTCTATACTTCATGGTATAATAGCACATTATTATATAGTGTACTGACGAAATACCAATTACAAATAATTATTTTATGCTTATTATAATCAGGTTGTCGTTCATGAAGGTTGTTATTGGGTTGCGTACCAAGTATAGCCATTGACCAATATACCCAAGCAACGAGATGCGGATATTTATCACTGTATAGTATACATGTATAGTCAGTCGAGTGGATTGTTACGTGCATATACAGGTGTAAGGGTGAAATGTCATCTATAGAGGAGTATTATAGACTTGCTTGGGAGTTTTCGGAAACGTTTGTTTGAGAGAGACGCCCCAGTTTTACTGATTGACGTTAAAATATTCTACAGAAAGAGCCGAGTGGTGACGAATACGATTCTCTTATTAGTTCTGGGCCTTGTTCCACAAAGCGAGCGTAGCGCTACGACTGTCGTAAGTCTATGTTTAAGTGTAATAATAGGAGTTACAACCATCTTACGGCTACGCTCGCTTTGTGGAACGGGCCCCGGGCCGGCTCAGGTTATATTCTCTGTAAATGGGATCTGTTGTCACTGATCTGGTGGCAACCGACATGTATACATTGGACAGACGCAGGTAGCTGGGAGAGAATTCTATTATTAATGAGATTTCTCTTGTGTTAAATTTAAAATCTGCTGTTAACGTTTATCGCAGAACGCTAGTATCAATGACAAAACACATGACACGCGCGTTGTATTTTCCCGAGTATTTTATCCTGAAATTATTCAGCTGTTGCCTAGCGTGTCGTTATGTTTAATGAGTAACTGAGGAATGAATATTTTAATTTTTTTTTGCGAATTTAGAACGGTTATTATGCCGTAGCTTTGCTGCTTGTCAATCGGCTGTATGGTGTATTGCGTTCAACATTTGAAAGGCGAAGACGAAAGTAGATTTTACTTTGAATATTACAGTGAATGAGATCAATGAGAGCTGTCTGAGCATATTTGCAATGTTTATTACTGAGTTGGTTCACATAGTTAAAATTCACGTTCTGTAGAAATATCTGAAGGAATAATGACGTAATTCCAGCCAGGCATCTATCGAATACAGATGCTGGCTGCTATAGTCTGAGTTCGTCCTCACTTCGTTCGCTCGTCACGCCGAAGGCCCGGGTTCGATTCCCCCCATATGGGCACAATGTGTGAAACCCATTTCTGGTGTCACCTGCCGTGACATTGCTGGAATATTGCTAAAAGCGGCGTAAAACCATACTCACTCAATTGTTTAGGATAATTTCCTATATTATTGGACATGTTCAGCTTCTGCTGATTTTAACTGTGAATGTCTTTTTTGTAAGACATTAGGTTTATATACATATAAAACTTTGCTTTAGACAATGAAACCCCGTTATTCCGGAACGCAATTACTGCTGGGGTTTACCTGTATACAAAGTTGACTTCCACAAGCGCCCGTCACTGTATATCAACCATGTGTGTGTGTGTGTGTGTGGGGGGGGGGGGGGGGGGGGGGGATGATTTCAAAGTGGGAGATGACCGTACCACTCTTGCATCCTTCCCCAATCCCCCACCCCCTCTACGACTGCTCACTAAACATCATACCACACTCTGTCATGAAGTCTCTCTACAAAAAAACCCGTCATATTTGAAAGTTGCGTTGCCAGTGGTTATTTGTTTAAAAAACATCATGTTTAGATCATGTATTCTTAGTAATAAAATGTCACAGATTTTATTTAAAGGATGAATTTATGTGGTCATTGTGTTGTGTTGTTTCATATAGCTCACCTTAATGTGTACGTTACTTTCCACAGGCAACTCCGTGTGTTATTCAGATTGTCATAGCAAGCCTTCTTCATGTCAATAATACTGATTGTATGGTACAATAAAGAGCAATATAAGATACGTTTGATGTATATTTATGTTAATGGCAGAAACCTAATTCTTATGGTAATTTCGGTAACTTTTAAAATGTGAAATACAGAAACACGTGCTCATTTCAATAATAATAGACCGCCCTCGTGGTCTAGTGGTAGAGCGTCCGCCCGGAGAGCGGAAGGTCCGGGGTTCGATCCCCGGCCGCGTCATACCAAAAGACGTTAAAAGATGGTACTTGTTGTTACCCTGTCTTGCGCTCGGCATTAAGGGGCTAAAACAAGGACTGGTCGGCTCGGAGTATACTGTGTCTGAGTGGGGTATTCATGTTAAACTGCGGCATGGTATCTCAGTGAGCTAGCACTATAAATCGGCATCAGTCCGGACTAGTACAAGCAGCCACACAAACACACACACGTACATGCACGTCGCTATATAGATGCAATAATCTTGGACGAGACGTTAAACCCCATTTCACCTCACCTTCAATAATAATATAAACAGCCGGGCAAAAGAAAGTATTCACTTGAAAATTGGATTCGACCAAGAAATTACAACGTTACCAGGCTTAAAACAGTCACCGAAACACTGCAAACGTAAGACCCAAAACGCAAGTATGATACCCGTATCAAATACATCACCATCGAATAACCATTTCTTGTTTGTTTCATGTTTAGCCACCATCATACATGGGTGTATACTTTCTTTTGCCTGTCAGTTTACATGTACAGTAAACTACGGTTATGACGAAGTCAAAGGGACCACTCATTTTAGTTCGTAATAACCGTAGTTCGTTATAAGCGTATATACAGCAGATATACAACAAATTGCCGGGACTAAAAAATGAGTTCGTTATATCGGTCAGTTCGTTATAAGCGTGTTCGTTATAAACGTAGTTTACTGTATTTTCCTTCATAAAGGCTGACACGTCTCTTCGGGGTCTGTATATAGATCGACACAATTAAATTAATTTGAACACTTCACTGAAGGTTTAGGAGAGTAAATATGTGCGACAGATTGAAAGGTGCGACAACCTTAGGTTATAATTGATAACCCTCCGTCTTTAATTAATCTCGGGAAATAGTACCCGCTCCCATTTCTTTCATGCTTTGTTACGTTTAAGATTTAATAACCTCTGAGGGACAGATTCACGTGGACACGAAACGATTCAGCTCTTGTGAATAGCCCCCCACCCTCCCCTTACCCCTGACTTCACCCCGTCTCCTTCACCCCCTCTCCTTCACCCCTCACTCAGTTTTACAATGGGCGTCCACTTCAGCTACTTGGAAACACCTGCTCGCGAGCGTGTGCTAATTGACAGGTAGTAAGTTTTAACATTAAAGGTCGATCAGGTGATAATTTACAGGGGGGTAAAGTTGAGAAAACTGGACACCTTATATTAATTACAGAATTTAAGGGGTTTCAATTAGTTTGCAAACGACAGGGTCAGTTTGGGACGGAGGGGTAAGGATACGACCCGGGCTAGGAGGTCAGGGGGTCGGGAATGAAGTTCACCCCAGGAGCTTTCTCATTATTCACCTCGAGACCCGGGCCCTGCGTTGCCCGGATCAGTTCCGAGGGATAAAAGCAGAAAACATTTATCATTTGTAAATATCTGAATTAGCATACAGGTTCTTGTTCTGTTGCTAATGGAAATGTTAAAGTTGAAACTGAAACTTTATTATAACCTAATTATTCTTAGGACAAAATAACTTTTTGAAGATAATGACAGCAGTAATTGTTTCAGAAAACGAAATATGTTGGTATTTTCTCGGAGCATGTCGTACCTATCATCAACCGATACTGAAGACATATATTAGGGCAAAGTTGGTAATAAATGTATTTCGCATATACTTTGTCTGAATTAATTCAGTCTTGTCTTTTTTTCACCATAACTTATTTATCAATACACAAAAGCGCAACTCCTATATACTCTGTTAAAGTGTTTGTTTGTCACGCTAAAGTTCCATTCCCCAATGGAGTGCAATGTGTGAAACCCGTCCTTGGTGCCCTAAATAACAGATTTATGAATATATCTGAGAGCTAGCTCACTCACTCACTCACTCACTCACTCACTCATTCACACACACACACACTCACTCACTCACTCACTCACCCACTTACTTACTCACTCACTCACTCACCGACTCCCCCACCCACTTACTTACTCTCTCTCCCATAAATTATGGTGGCGCACCGGCAAAGTCACGCGTCTAATCACAAAGTATAGTTTTATAACACTGTCGACATGTGCCTATATCTCTGCTGGACCGTGTGTGGTTTTGTCAGCTGCCCGTCCAATCCTGGGCAATAGTCGTATATAACCACGCCTGCTGCCAGGCACATTTTCCCATATTCATTTATTGAAAGATCGTGTGTCAATAAACACTCCCCACCTCCGTCAACGACATGTGTCGCCAATCTCCTCTCCTCACCTCCTCCCATGTCCGTAAACACTCAACTCTTCTCTCAACGACATGTGCCAGCGGTCTCCTCACTCCCGTCAACGACTTTCCTCACCCCTGTCAACGACATGTGTCACTGATCTCCTCAACCCCGTCAACGACATGTGTCGCCGGTCTCCTCATCCCCATCAATGACATGTGTCGACGATCTCCTCACCCCCGTCAACGACATGTGTAGCCATCTCCTCACCCTGGTCAACGACATGTTTTACAGATCTCCTCACTCGATCCAACGACGCGTGTTACTGATCTCCTCACCCCCGTCAACGACATTTGTCACCAATCTCCTCACCAACGTCAACGATAAGTGTTATTGATCTCCTCGCCCCCGTCAATGACATTTGTTACTTGTCTCCTCATCCCCGTCAATGACATTTGTTACTAGTCTCCTCACCCCCGTCAATGACATGTGTTTCTTATCTCCTCACCCCCGTCAACGACATGTGTTACTTATCTCCTCACCCCCGTCAATGTCATTTGTTACTTATCTCCTCACCCCCGTCAATGACATGTGTTACTTATCTCCTCACCCCCGTCAATGACATATGTTACTTTTCTCCTCACCCCCGTCAATGACATGTGTTTCTTATCTCCTCACCCCCGTCAACGACATTTGTTACTTGTCTCCTCTCACACACACACACACACACACACACACACACACACACACACACCACACACACACACACACACACAGCGCAACCACACACAGCGCAACCACACACACAACACCAACAAATTGCAAACGTTATCAGAACGTTGCTAGGCTTGAAACAGGCGCCGAAACACTGCAAACTTCAGGTCCAAAACACAGCTATGGTATCCGTATCCATGCATCACCTTCGAGTAACCAATTCTTGTTTCTTTCATTTTTCTAGTCACCATTAAGATGGGTGAACTTGTATATTTTCTTTAGGCAGCTTATAACGGGGTTTCGCTGTGTATGCCAGTTGATGGACAAATGTTTTTGGCAATCAAAATTTTCCAGCAGGGAAATTCAATAACCGTATTGCTTAAACAAAACGACTGTATTATTTTGTAGTTGTTGTTGTTATTGTTGTCGTGGCTGTAATTCTAACAGGATGCCACGTTGATAGAGCATATTTTCTGATGGAACACTGCCAGCAAAGGTTGCAGACAGCGTAGAGGGTGCCCACTATCCAAATTATCAAAATAACAAGCAGTCTACAGACAGCGCTCCAAAAGGGAATGGGCCCGTATCAGTTTCGAGGACAATACATATTTATTTATTTTTAAAACAACAATGGCATCCCTATCTCTCAAATAACCTTTTTCAACAGTTCGTATCAATCTTTTTTTCAGTAGAACCAGTCACCATAGAAACATACTGTTTTTTGTCCACAAAGAACGCATCATCAGTTCACGTGCACCAAGCTTTTTATGCCAACTAAAGAATATCTTTGTTTACACTGCTATACGAGTCTTTCTATCCACTACTAAATAGAGTAATTTATATTCAGATATAAAAGCCCTTAGTTACCCCTAAGCCCCCGATATAGTCGACTTCCTTTACTGGGCCCCACCCCCTCGTATTGTTACCCTGGGGCAGGGGCGACCGTGGGAGGTGAAGCATGGCACGCGACTGAAATAAGCCACGCGACTCCCACGCGACCCGGATTGAGGCTCACAAAGACGAGGTTAAAGGTCACCGAGAGACTGCCATGTTAGCCTGGTACAAAGCAACGGTAATGAAAGCCAAAAGACTTCAAGAGAATCGTGTTTGTTCATTCGTGTCATGTTTATTTGTGATAAGAGATGAATAATGTCAGTGAACTGGATATTATTTGATTTTCGAATTAATAATTATAAAGTTAAAGACACATGTCACATTTATTTGTTTGAGGGAGGGAGCCGTTTGCAAGGTAACTTGTCGGGTATGAACGCCAGTATGCTAAAGCTTAGACTCTGAAAATAAATAATTTTGAGAGAAACAACTACAGTTAAATTGAAATAAGCCTCAGTGACGTGGGAATTTCTAAACCCGTGTTAAATCTAGACTTGCTTCATTTAACATTACAGTAAGTGCTAGGCTGAGGTGAAAATACTATGGTTGTTGGTAATACAAGCAGCGATCAAGCCCCTGAAATTTAGCTGCGAACTCGTAGCAGTGTGCAGCTCCGCTCTCACTACACGCATCTTCATCAGTCATCAACTATTAGTTAAACATAGCGCTGATAAGTCCGATGTTGTTACCCTGCGTGGCGCAGTGAGGGGGTAAATCATAAAACATGGACTGTTTGTTTGTTTGTTTGCTGTTTAACGCCGCACTCGGCAATATTCCAGCGATATGACGGCGGTCTGTAAATAATCGAATCTGGACCAGACAATCCAGTGATTGACATCATGAGCATCGATCCACGCAATTGGGATACGATGACAT